TTCTCCGTGACCTGATGACCACAATAATGTTAATTTATGAACTGGTTACAACTTTTTTGGTAAAACCCAGAACATAGGGACTAGCCTCTACCAGGCTTCGGGAAGCGGCTGGAAAGAGTTGAATCAGCCAAATAGACAGATAACGTGCCGGGGGAGAGGGCCAACTCCCTCGGCATGTTAGCAAGGAATCAACTTTGATTTTTAAACCTCCTTGGCCAATTTCGGGCTACAGTTTTCAGCCGCTTCCCGAAGCCTGGTAGAGGCTACCCTGTGACCACGTTTAGCGTAATGATAAACGTTCGCTTAATACAAGAATAACAACATCAAAAACAACATTGTCTTTGGGACCGCTTTTTTTCAGCTAGGCACATTTTCCAAGTTCCCAAGATAGAATAAAACACCCCCATGAAACTCCTTCCTCTTCGCCCCCGCCGTTCTGCTTCGCCCCCGCCCCGTTCTGCTTCGCCCCCGCAAAAAATCTGCTTCGCCCCCGTCGTTCCTCTACGCCCCCGGCGCAATTCTGCTTTGCCCCCGTCCTTCTGCTTAGCCCCCAATGGCGGCACAGCTCACAGTCGACACGAAAATCGTCTGCAAAGAATAACAATAAAGGCTGTGCCGCCAAATTTAAAGTAGCCCATGCTCCGGCAAACATTCTGGACCACCTTTCTGCCAAGTGGCGTTGCACAAATCCTTCCCATTCAAAAGTTTACCCCTACCTCACGGCCCGTCAGTGGTTCTTACGTTTATAAGTACTGGCGGGAAATTTCACTCACGGCTGTACTTATAAACGCCAGTACTTATAAACGTAAGAACCACTGACGGGCCGTGAGGTAGGGGTAAACTTTTGAATGGGAAGGATTTGTGCAACGCCACTTGGCAGAAAGGTGGTCCAGAATGTTTGCCGGAGCATGGGCTACTTCAAATTTGGCGGCACAGCCTTTATTGTTATTTTGCAGACGATTTTCGTGTCGACTGTGAGCTGTGCCGCCATTGGGGGCTAAGCAGAAGGACGGGTACAAAGCAGAATTGCGCCGGGGGCGTAGAGGAACGACGGGGGCGAAGCAGATTTTTTGCGGGGGCGAAGCAGAACGGGGCGGGGGCGAAGCAGAACGGCGGGGGCGAAGAGGAAGGAGTTTCATGGGGGTGGGGTAGAACCCACCTCAGGTGCAGGGCCAACTTCATCAAAATTCTGTGCCGCTTGGCCGACGGAGAGGACTACAAAGCACCGTGTGCTTTTAGGTTTAAACCTCATTTTAAAAGCGAACATTTCCGAATCGGTAAATGTTTTCCAAGAGCTGAGAATCAGATAGTTCAGGAAAGAAAATTGGCCCAATGACGGGAAGAAAGAGTCGGACGAGTGAAAGTCTAACAACGCGTGACGTACAGACTTTCTCGTGCCAACGGACTGAGGAAAGGGTCACCAGTGCACTAGTAAAACGACGTCGGCTGTTTGTTTTGTTTAATTGTTACCTGATGTCGTAAACCCTTATTGTAGAGTTGAAGAGATATGTAACTGGAGTGTATACTGAGTAACTATCATTCAAGCAACCGTCCAAAAGATCATAATATATTTTCATCCGAAATATATATGAATTTTATTTTTGTGTTTGTTTTGCTGCCCTTAACTTGCCTTAAAAAAACCTGTACCTGATTATTCTCGTAATACAAAGGCTCCAGCAGTTGAATTTCCATTTGCTTTAAAGAGGAATTTGGAGGACCCAGGGTCCTCCACCAATAAAGAAACTATCCCCTGTGAGGATCTAGTAGCTAAATTGACCCCGCACATCCTCCCAACATCATAAATGGATTATAAGCCACGGGGTGTCTGAACCCGACTGCCAGTGGAAACAATGGGAGCAGACGACAGACAGTGATTTGCATATTAACTGACGTTTGAAGTTTTGAAAAATGTTGTATTTTATCTTCACTAGTTTTTCAACAAAACATTGCCATACAAGGAATGACACAGACAGTTGCAGCAAACCTAAACACAATCCATGTAACATTTACTTGCAGTCGTTATACACGATAAGGGCCTACAGTTTCCAATTTGAACAATTCCAGCAGAGATGAGCCTCTGTCAAGCTTCCATGTTTGTTTCGAAAACTTATATCTGTAATCACAAATTGCACGTCTTATCCACAGCCAAACTAGATTTCTATTGATATGATAGTTGTATGCAAATATACAATGTAGAAACATGTTGAAACACATTTGGCGGCTTATTGCATTATATATTAGAATCCAAGTCTGAAATGCTGAATAGATGAAGTCCCAGTTTACCAGGATTGGCATAGTACATGCCTGTGTAGTTATTAGTCTATATTCTTGTTGTTTAGTAAAATATTATATGTACTTTTCATGTACATATCCATGTCTCCACATAATGTCGAAGAGGTGTACTTGGTATACCGTATCTCAGCCTAGCTCTCCCCATGTGTTCACCACGGCTGCCAGTTGCAGAATGAGCTGTGAGAGTTTACAGTACCCGAATTTATTGGGTTGTTTTATAGTCCAACCTTCCTCTTTGACTAATGCAAGTACAATTGATGGCCATGTTCTTTCAAGACTATCAGTTTACAAAAAGGTTGATAATGTGCACCCATATATGGAAATGGTGACTTACATGTAGTATAGATCTGTTAACGTTTCTTGTTCATATTATTATTATTATACATGTATATTCATGTTTCATAGCTCATGATGATGCAGATTAACTTTGCGTATAAGAACACCACAAACATTAACCTCAGTTGGAGCTTAGTTGAACTTTAGTTCAGTTTGTCTTCAACATGTTAGAAATTTAGAGTAATGCAATAACGTTATATCAAAAGAATCCTCCAGAGCGCTGCCATGTTTTATTATGATAGTAGGAGGCATACTTTGTTCAAGTTGTAGGTATGGATGCAAGAGTAGTTTGCTACATCATAGGGTTTCCTTCATTGTTGTTTATTACAAAATATACAAAAGTATACAAGTCATCCTGCTAATTTTGTGGAGGAATGGGCAATGAAACTGTGTTATGTTAACTTAGAATTGTTATTTTCAATGAGAAAGATGTAATTCATAAAGAATATTAAGTTCTGAGGTGGGTTTTTTTCAGGATGTGGAACAAATGATTATTATTTCAGTACCAAGGACAGACACATGTTGCATTATATATTGATGCTCCAACCTCGATGTGGGAAAGTGAGCTGAAAAAGATATGCATATCAAAGATAAATAAAGTTTTTGGGTTGCATTGTCAAGTAGCAAACTGTGTGACCTAACAAATATGTGTTTGTTTGTTTGTTTATTTATTTATTTATTTGTTAACGTTTGTTTTCGGGGCCAACCATTATGCCTATAGTAGTAAACGTGGGGAACTTTGCCTCTGGAGACCTTTACGTTGGTCTCCAGAGGCAAAAAGGAGGATTGGCCGTCCAATCACAACACTTAAGGGTCTTATTCAGTCTGGCACTGGTCTACAAGGATTGGAACTTTTATCAGCAATGAAAGACAGAAAGTACTGGCGACAAAACTTCACACGCTGCACCTCAGAAGAGGATGAGTAAAGAAGAAGAAGAAGTGGGGAAGGGTGTTTATAAAAAAAGAACAGCTTGATATATAGTATATATTAAGGGGCAATATATAACATTTTCGCACTGTAAACCGTAGCCGAATTCGCCCAACGCGCAGGCTCCGACGGGCTTCGGATTCGGCTAGTGCTGAGCCCACCATCTTGTGTTTGTGGGCCTTTAGAGGTTATGCTCTGACAAGATTTGTTCCTCTTCCTTTCATGATATTTATTTCGAGAAAAAAGTAGAAACTTTTCAAACCGTTCTGTTCATATACATATAGTAAGGCCACACAAATTTCATTTGTTGGTCCTTGGATTCAATCAATCATTCAAATGAATTTGCCCACTTCATTTTTTTTTCTAATATGAAAAAAATATTCAGAATCAATCCCAAAATACTGATGTTTTCGTGCCAACAGTTAAAGAATGCCCACGTCTCTGTAGCCGTTATATTTTTTCCTTCCTATTCACCAATGCGTTTATTCAGTTAAAAGTTCAAGATTTACTGCATAAATTATCAACTATGTTTACTTAACTTTGTGGCTCTTATGTTAGCATGTTGGCTATCACATTATTCCTATAGTTTCCTTTTTTTACAAAAAACCGTTTCATTATTATATAATTTCCTAAATAAATCCAAAGACAAATGAAATAGGTGTGGCCTAACCATTTACATGATTTTACTGTTGTTCTTCTTAGCCCTAACATCTAGCTTATAAACATGATTGGAGTAACAGTTTCCCTAACGCAGTCCATTATATTTGCTAAATAATGTCTATATACTCCTCACAATACACTAAATTAAATTTAGTTAATCGTCCACTCAAGTTACATGTACATTTCAACAACAAATAGTATACACCTTGCATACATTTATGTATAACTCTAACGGTGGATTAACAAAAATAGGTTTGTCACATTTCAACTCCATACTTTTCTTACACATTTATACTACATATATTTTACAAAAATATATATCTGCTATACATACATGTAGTACAATGTACCCCTTCCTATACATGGTAAATCGATAAAACAAATTAGTGAACTTCACCTCTGCAAAGGGGAAATCAGAAGAGAATTGAAAGACACAAAACAAGCATAATTGTTATACATTTGCTTGCAGATTACTTTAAATACCGCGTACTTTGCTACTCGGAAGCCAAGTTTTGTATGATATCACGGGCCCGTTAATTTCCTAGAATTTTCTTGTGAGTATTCGCAGTGAAAACGTGTGACAAAAACATAGAGAGATCATCATGCTTGAGGCAGAGGAGGATACGTATGTGTGGTCAGCTTTGCTGTTCCGCGGATTTTAACAATATTCTTCAGTCCTGTTAATTCCCACTGTACATGCTGTTTAGTATGTTTTCGAATTCCCGGACACCGTTTTGTTTGTTTGCCTTCCAAGCCATGTAAACATGGTCGTGGATCGGAGTGAATAGACTGTTCAGGAGTTGGTCAATAGATGCTGTAGTGCTTGTTTTAAATAGCTGTCTGCTTTCCTGGAATCAATATTCATCCAGGCGGCTGCCAGGTTGGAGAGTGTCATGCCAATTCTAGGATGTGCAGCACCCTGACCATAGATACTCCTGTACATACGCAGTGCCTCTTCAATGTAACTAATTGCTCTCTTGCAGTTACCAACATGGATCCAGACTAAACCCACGTTGTTAAGTGACTCGGCAATGTCAGGATGTTTATTTGTCGGTCCAAAGATACTCCTGCGCATCTGCAGTGCCTGTTCATGGTAGCTTAGTGCGTTTTGGAAGTCACCAAGATTTCTCCAGACTTCCCCCATGTTGCTAAGTGACCCGGCAACATTAGGATGTGCAACACCCTGACCATGTATGCTCCTGTGCATTTGCAGTGCCGATTCTAAGTAGCTTGTTGCTTTTCTGTAATCACCAAGAGTTAGCCACACTTTCCCAAGGTTGTTCAGTATGATCGCAATGTCTTTATGACGAGCAGTCTGGCCATGTATACTTTTGAGCATCTGTAATGCCTCTTCATAGTGACTGATAACTTTCCAGTGGTCACCCAACCCTTCCCAGGCTCGCCCCAGGTTGCTGAGTGTGATGGCAGTGTGAGGATGTGCTGTACTCTGGCCATTAATACTCCTGAACATTTGCAGGGCATGTTCAATGTAGCTTATGGCCTTCCTGTATTCACCAAGATCGAGGCAGACTGTCCCCAGGGCGTTTAGTGCCAGAGGAAAGTCCGGATGAGCCGACATTCGACCATAGATACTCTTCTTCATCTGCAGCGCCTGTTCATAGTAGCTGATTGCTTTTCTGTAATCCCCCATGCCCTGCCATGCCTGCCCCAAGTTATTAAGTACAATGGCAGTTTCACGATGTGCGGTGTTTTCACCATACATTCTTTTGCAGCTTTGAAGTACTTGTTGGTAGTACCCAATAGCTTGTCTAAAATCACCCAACAAAACACAGGATAAACCTATGTTGTTGAGTATACTGAAAGGATGTGCTGCATTATATATAGAGAGACGTGGCGTGGTAAGTTCCGGATGTGCCGACGTTTGACCATAGATACTCTCCTTCATCTGCAGTGCCTGTTTATAGTAGCTAATTGCTTTATTGTAATCGCCCAAATAGTGGCAGGTCATCCCCAGATAATTAATGATGTCAGAGTTTTCTTTATTCTGATAACCATAGATACTTCTGTGAATCTGCAGTGCCTGCTCGAGGTAACACATTGCTGTTTTGAAATTACCGACATTGTTCCAAGCATCTCCAAGAGCCAGAAACAGATCCATCTTATCAACGGCGGTATTACCATCTTCCTTCAAGGCCTCACTATAGTAGTTGATAGCCAGTCTGTATTTGCAAAGCCCAGAGTACATCCTTCCTTGTACTGCGGAAGATTTATCATAAAAATCAAAGGAAGTAGATAGCAGTTGACCCTTTTCTGACAATTTCCACAAAGCTCTTTCAAGAGGGATTGATGTATAATAGTATCTGAAAAGCTGTTTTGGATTTTTTATGTGGAAAACAGGCTTCAGCGCATTTGTATTTTCTTCATCATCGGTCAGTAAGGATGGTTCTTGACCATGTACAGGTAACATTCTTTCCATTGAGGCCAAAGCTGACAGGTTTTCATTTTGTCCGCAATTTTCAATATAGGTTCTGAGCCTGAGTTCTGCTGAGATGCCGGTAAGCACCGTCAGGTGATGTGCATTGTTAGGACTGATCACTTGTTGATTTTCCATTTCTTTAATTGTCTCCCAAACTGTGGTAGGTATGATGCCTGAATACAGTGCCAAGCAGTCCACTGCTACAGCTGGGAAGCGATAGAGGTCTTTCTTTACATCAATCAGCGTTGCTGTCACAGTGGTTGCTTGTACACCTTTTAATGTGAGCCTTTGAGTCTTTTCCGTAAGTGTCTCATTTGTCAGTTGTTGGGCCATTCTACCTCCATGCTCTTTTAGTAGATTCATTATAGAGGACTTGTATGTGTCAATCAAATCCTGGTCTCCTTGTATCAGGCAAGGGTTTCTCAAGATGGTGGCAAGATGATATCCTTCCTTTAGGTATAGCGTGACATCATTTTGTAGTTTTGAAACCAGATTGCTTGGGGTGCAGATGAGTTCACTAGGTGGTTCGTTCATAGTTCCTTGCCTGCCCAATGGAGTCTTGCTTGCCTTTGGCATGGACCCATCGAAAGAAAATCCACGTGGTGTAACAGAGTCATAGTACCAGTTGTCAGTTGGGTTCTCAGAGTAGAAATTATTGAGGGATTTTATTCCCAGTGCTGGGAGAATGGTTTCTCCCAGGTTGACCACCTTGAGGTGTAGGTAGTGGGTGAGGTTACGGAAATAAACAAGACATCGTTCGCTTTCTTTCTCTACCAAGATGGCAAACTCCAGGTCTGAGTATGGAGTTACCAGTCCTGTGGCCTGTGAACCCAAACCTATCAGGGCATACTTACAGGGAGGGGGACCCACTAACCCAATACACTCATCTACAAGCAGAGTGATGAACTCCTTTCTCTGTTGTGCAATTTTCTCAAACAACTGCCTGACAGCCTGAGCTCGTTTTGCCTCTATCTCTCTGACACATGGGTCATCCTCATAATGTACATAGGGATCCAGCTGCTGGTCAATGGTTTCCATCTCCAGCTTGATCTGGTCCCGCATCTCCTTCAGTTGTTTCTTGTGTTTTTCTGTGTTATCTTTCCGCACATTGCGACGAATATCTAAGATACATTTAAGAAATGACTTCCCTACGTATCTAATAGCTGTTGCAATATTACCAATAAGAATCTTATCCTTTGACCTTGCTATTGCTGCATTGTAGAGTGCTGCTGCTTTGACAAAGTCTCCCCCGTCCCCTGTCTGCTGACCTCGCTTACTGTAGATATCCCCCAACTTGCACAGGGGCTCCACCTCTCTCTGGTACTGCTGGGGTGTGGGATCTGGGGAGGGAAATTTTGATATTTAATATGAATATTAATCTCATTGCAGGTAAGATTTATATGTATTTCATTCATTTCAACCTCCTTGCTTATTTCTATACTTATCCTGGGAAAAACGTCTCACAGTAATGGTTCATCTTATTTTGTATTTTAGTTTCTTTATACTTTAAGGTATTCGACTTTTAACTATTACTAAGATTTTTCCTCACCGCTCGCATGTACCGTCTTAAGTGCAGCTGCAAAGTGCTGCTCTGCTGAGTCCAGGTCTGCTTTGGCAAGAGATGATTCACCCTCCTTGAGATGGTCCTTGTGTTGGCTGAAAGAAAACAAAGAAGTACTGTGTTAGATATAAGGAAGGCTAATTATAAGAGACTTCAATTGTATCACTTTAAAGGCAATTTCAGGGTGGCGAAGCAAAAATATTCCGGATGAGAAAATCAGTCTGATAATGTCATTTATTGTTATTTCATTGCACATTTTCATTTCATACCTTTAAAAGCGTTTGAAATTGACGCCCTGGAATTGCATTGAATACTACCTTTCATTGAAGTTATTTTATGCTGTACATATTTCGATCCGTCGTTTTTCTGCAAAAAGGGAAAACTGTAGGCCTTAGATGTTACATGAAGATCGCTACCATTTTTTCATTGAAGTTATTCTATCATCTGCAAAAATGAATATGTTTTCTTCCTCTTTTGTATCCTCACCTTTGTAAGGAAATACTTGATTCTGGATGGAGATAATGTTTCTGATTAACGTCACTTCTGATGGTGTTCCTCAACCTTCTTCTTCTCGATCGTGATGCTTGCTGCATGGGGAATACGGGTATATGTGACTGGTTTATTGGTTGACTTTTTTTCAGGCAGTGACGTGAATGCAAGATTTATTGTAATTGCAAATCTTATCAGTTATTATTTGCTCAAAAAAGTATTTTGAACACTGAGTAGATAAGAGAATATATGAGAAACACAGAACATGCTGATGTAGCTAAATTCTTATCTGCAAACAAAATGCCGGTGAAAGGTTATGTTTAACCGTGTCAACCCTGTCACTACAAGGAGATACTGACTATAACGTACCATTGTTCCTTACGTGTGGCAAAGACCACTGATCAGTCAAACACCGTCCCGTGACTAGAAACTAGAGTTCCACGATCTCATACCTTCGCCAATCGATATTTACTTTTACGACTGATATAATTCATAAATGTCTCTCATTGTTTATGCAAACAAGATCCTGATCTGCGTAGATTTTATCAGTTGATCATATTCTGCACCTATAATAACAGTGCCATCCTAACTAAGAAGGCTATTCTTGTATTTCCTGGTAAACTACCGAACTGAGGTCATGATGTTCACCTTCACTTAACTTCCAAATGATACCACAGTATGGAATAATAGCATTTTCTCATTAATTCTGCAAAGTAGGTCTTACTTTACATCATTCATACCTTTAAATTTCGATGTTCCTCTATCTCGTTCCAATTACAAATGTCATAAGTTTGATTATTCCGATCATGGAGCGCAACAGATTTATAGAATGTCTTCAGCAATTAAGCGAATTAGATATTGATTTGCATAATCATGCTCTAGTTATGTCATGGTTAAGCGAGTTAGGATATATTGAAATAATAAGACCATGCTTTTTAAAGTTCATGGGATGTATATATAACAGTACTCACCCTTCTTACTGCTTCAATGATATTGTCCGTGTATCCGATACGATGCCTCAATGTCTGTTTTAAATTCGATCCAGAGTCTTGGCATCTTGTTAGAGCTTTGCTGTACATGACAGACGCCTTGGAAACTTGGGATACATCAGCCTGAGAGTTTTCTCTGCCTTTTTGAAGGTAGAGATCACCAAGAGATTTTAGAACCTCGACCTCCAAGAACATGTCACCGTTTGCCATTGCTTGTACTAGTGTTTCTGCGTATGCCTCCTCAACAGAATGCCAGGGCGTACCGACTCTTCTGTCCAACTTATCACAAATTTCTGCCACCCTCAAGACATTGCTGTCAGCAATACCCCAGTAATCTGGTGACAACCACTGATACTGCGGGGCATACCTATGCGGAAGTTTTCTGGAGAGTTTTTCTAAGTAGCCGATACGATGCTGAACCGTTTGTCCCATGTGCGGATCTGTCCAGCACAGTTGTAGTGCAGCGGCATACAGGGCAGCAGCCTTGTCGAACTCTGACGACTCTCTACTTAGCTTGCCTTTCTGAAGATGGAGGTCTCCAAGACTTCTCAGGACGTATGCCTCGATATAGTGATCTTCAGAAAGAATGGCCTCTTTTAAGGCCTGTCCACTTTTCAAGGACTGCAATCGCAAGTTCTGCAACTTGTCTGCCAAGCTAGCCATGTTGAAGTCGGCCTTTTTCTTCAGAGTCTATATGAAGCCAAGTTTCGTTGGCAAAGGTTCTGTCTTCACTTTGTGGAGATGTTAGTTGTTTTATTCTAGCTCAGGCGGGACCTGCCCAGCTTTATACTGCAGGGACTTTCCACCGCCGAGTCATGAGTAAGTCAGCTGCTTTTTGTTTGAGAAACAAATAGTGACGATACCATAGGTCAGTTATTAGATTGCACATTAACTTTAATAAATACAGGTAGGTTCTCTTGGGGCTGTCATAACCAGGCATACATGTAGACGTAACAGAATTAAATCCCTGTACACTAAAACAAAGTTTTGTTTTACATAGCGTAGGTTTTAGCTGCACTAATCACATCCTATTTTGTTCTGCAGCAGTACCATAACATGCAAGGGGGCCCAAAATCTCTAAAATGCCTAGGTCTTATGAACACCGGTACCTACCCATCTACCAAGTTACATGACAATCCATCAAAAAGTTATCGTGCTAAACCACACCCACCCACAAACGCTACGGAAAGCATAACCTTCTTGGCGAAGGTAATGCAAAACAGTGCTTTCGTATACCATTGGGCCTCTTTAATTTGATTTGTTATGAACATCATGGCAAGTACATCTATTACAATCAACTTAAACATTTAATAGAGAAACTTCGGACTATCATAGACTCTAAGCAATGAATGCCAGTGCATGTATATTGTTTTGAAAACTCAATGATTTTAGAAACTGCTTTACCATTTCCTAACGATTTGGTCGCTCAGGTGTACTCACCTAGCAGCTGGCTGGCCCCTGATTTCCTGTTTGAAAGTTCAAGGGTGAATTCCTTCCCGTTGGTGTTGAGGCCGCACACCACAGTATTTATGCATGGGCGAACCCCGTAGTACGGGTACTATGCTAGAGAATGCACAATGCTAGAGAAGGGTGCAGAGATTGTTCTGTGCATGGTACCGAGATGGGATCTGTGGTAAATGTTAGAGGAATACGTCAGTTTTGAGACTGTAAAAGTTTAATTATGGTGCGTGTTCAGTCAGCGTAGATTTGCGCTGGGATACTTGTACCGACTAGTACTGTGCGTTGGCTGTAGTCCATGACCTCCGCAGTGGCGCTAATAAAAGAGGGCGTGAGAACAGAACGAGGCGGCAAATTTAAGCTCATTTTCACATATTTTTCCTGCAATTAAACATATTAAAATTCTGAACCTTGCTTGTGCACCCTACTATAATTTTTAGTGAGTCGAAGTGAGTCACTTTGGGGTCCTTAACTATAGAAATCCCCATAGGGCGAAAACTGTGTTGTGCCGCCTTGAGCCAAATCCTTGAGCTGCCACATACGTGCAGGGTTGGACAAGTTTTCAAAAATCCACTTGCCTATATAATAATATATTGAGTTTATTGACTTCGTTCACATTTCAGTAAAATACATGGCAGCTTCATTTGTGTACAAAGATGCTGAATTGCGCATTTTACATGATCAACATGATAACAAAACTATATCTATATTACAACATGATAACAAATTAAAAAAAAACTAGTAAACAATGACATTATGATGATAACATTATAAGGAATTGAAAAGGTTCTTAATAAGCTGTAATAACTGATTGCTGTAATAATTGACACTTGGAGATTTTAACAGGTATATTTGTTCAAGAGGTAAGTGAAGTACGGGATAGGGCTGTTTTTGTATCGTGCAAGTACGAGGTCATTTCCACTGTTCCGAACCAACTTTTCACTTGCCCAAAATATACAGTCATATTTGTATGTTTTTTTACTACCACCAAGGAAATTATCTTATTTTGAAGTTTATAATGTTGGATGCTTTATTTATCGAAATAAGGTGGTTTGACTTCAAACACTATAACATCCGTGTCCATGATATCACCAGGGTCCATAATATCGCCACCTTGAGAAATAGTGTGCTTAAAGATATTTTTACTGCAACATACCCTAGGTATGTACATTTGAGGTGTGCAGGAGTGCATACCAAAAGTTTGTTGCAGTAAAAATATCTTTAAGCACACTATTTTTCAAGGTGGCGATATTATGGACCCCGGCGGTGATATTATGGACACGGATGTTACTTTGTATCCAAAAAATTTACTTGCCCAATTCAAGGAGGTTAACTTGCCCAATTCAAGTGTTGGAGTACTTGCCCAAACAGTACTTTTACTTGCCCTGGGCAAGTGGACTTGCCCAGGGCAATCCTGATACGTGAGAGGTCAGGTATTCAAGGCTAGGATTAGGGTTCGTACTATAGAGTTAGGGTTAAAGTTGGGATCATTGTTAAGGGCTAGGGTTAGACTTACAATAGGGGTTAAGTTAGATTTAGTCCAACATTATGACTAAACCCCTCCCACCCCTTGTCTCACGTGAATTGGAAACCCCCAAGTAGTGGTAGAGTCATGTATTTGGCAGGATCGCGTATATGGCTTGTTACCGACCTTGACATATTCCTTGTTAGTTAGGGAGTTAGAGTTACATGTAGGACTTGGGGGTAAATTTACTACTGTATAATAACAGTCTACTAGGTAAACACAGAAATTTTCAAACTATGGCCATGAGTCAAAATCTGCATTATAATTATATAGTAGATTTCGGTAGTACATTGGTATGTGAATGTAGCGAGGCGAAACTAGGCGCACACGAAGCTCGACTAAAACACACATTTTCATGAACCAGATATCGGCATTTAATATGACATAAGCCCATCCTCTTGGACTAAAATGTACATGTGTGAAGAAAAGGTAAAAGGGGAAAACTTGACGGGTTGTACGTTGGTTTCTTAACTTCAAATACATGATTGTATAGTTTGTTAAATCTATCCATGAAAATACTAAGTATAATACCAAGAGGAAAATACACTGACAGAAAATGCATATTTTAGACCGGAAAAAGTACCAAGAAATTGAAGGAAGATTTTACTTGCAATTTTCCATATTCAGGATCATTCCATTTTCCAGAAAGTAACAATCCTTTTTTAATGGAACCATCCTGGAATCTTAGTATCTATAGAGGACTACTTAGCTTTAAGACATAATGAAACACATGCTAAGTGTCCAAGTGTTTGTTTAAACTAAAACAGCCTCTTTAACTTTAGAGGGGCACTGGGAATAGGGAAAATCTATAGTTTGTCCAAAGTGAAATATCTAGCATATAAATATGAACATGATGACAGATCATAGAAATCGTACATGTAATATAGTGCCCTAGGGATGAATTCTCTTTCAATTGAAAATCTTACTTTGCTTTAATTTCTATATCAAGACAAGATAGTACGATAAGTTGCATAATGCTGATAAGGGTTTCGAAATTCCCTGGGAGCTGAACTTAAATTTTTGACTGGCTGATCGTACTACTACTAGTATTATATTACAACTGATCACAGTTGTAGCAAGAGAAAGTCTATTTCTTGGCGGCGGCGGCCCGGTTAGCGGCCAGGACGGCCCCGGGACTCGGGTACGGTCTCTGCTGGAACAGCGGCCCCGAGACCGTGGAATCTACGCCAGTTTTGGCCTCGTTTGCCTTGGGAAGTCCAGTCGACCATGTTCCTCTGTGAAAAAAAATTAAATAATTATGCATTATAGCCCCACTTTAATAGGTTGAAAATGTTATCATTCTTCTAATATGGATTGTTTATGACATAATCATTACATGTATGCTCTTGGTAAACCTTTCTTTAAAGTGCTTATGACACCAGAATATGAACTTATATGATTGTAGTTGACATACCTAGATGTAGTGTTACCTGGATAATTCTATTATAAAATAATAATAAGATCATACTGATGAATGAAAAATTAAATTCACAAAAACGAGACCTTTCATTCCTACTGAGTCAGACCTAGAGTAAGTGTAGTAAATACACAACTGACTTTACACCTTAGTTGAAGTTTAATCTCTCTTGTCATTCCTTACCTTGGTGCATCTGAGTATGAGGCAGGGTCCATGGGGTCAAGTTCATCTCTGTCTCGCCCTCCTGATCCTGTAGGAGAGGGAAAGATGCAAAATCAAGTTCCAGCAAAAATAAACAAAAATTTCAGACTTCCACTACTAGTGTTTTGGGAACACATGCATGGTTAGTTTATACACTTAGTGTACCTCTACGTCGGTCCCTACCCCCTCCACCTCTCTGGTAGGGCGCTGGTCTTCTCTGTTGTCGAGACTCCATGTAGCGAGGTTTTCCGATTGGCTCTCTCCTCCGCTTTGCGTCTGAACTGTCGTGGGCGTCGTTGTCTTCACTGTCGTCTGTTAGGTCATCATCCTGGTCATCTTCATCATTATCATCATCATCATCATCGTCACCCTCTGCTTCACTGTCCGATTTATCAGTTGACTTGCCTGCAGGATATGGATTTCTATTAGGGCTGTGTGCTATTTCTATTAGGGCTAAACGAGCACGTTGGTAGAACGTACTGGACCTGCGCAAAACCCGTAATGTATTATGCACATGCACTTCGGCAGAATGTCTAATACAAGGCCGTATTTTCACATAAAAGGTTGACTATTAACACTGACCGTCTGTAGTTTCCAAATGTTATGTCCGACTCGGAAAAAATATCGTCTGCAACAGGCACAATTCTGATGCAACGCTGACCAAAAGTACAAAGAAAACTGTGAAAAATTGGGGTGGGGGGGTGCGCAGGCACAGTACATTCTGGCGACATGCTACCTAAATGTAACATCAGATACAGGTACAGGTCTGGACCTGTACCTATACCTGAACAATTTGACAAATCAACATATACATGTATAATTCTTCTAATCGAAGTTCCTCATCATTAACCTACAAGTTCCTACAAGGAAGAAGAAGAAGTTCCTCATCAATAACATAAAAAAAGCCATCCTCTGTAGTTTCCTAAATTAGTTGGCTAAATTACAGAGCCGGCGGTAACTACAGAGGATGGCACCTAAAAATGTAGGCTAGGGTGACGTACCTTCTAGCCAGGCTGCTGGAACTGTGATCTTCGCTGCCGGGTCTGTTCAGGAAAACAACAGGCAATGACATTGTGGTCATTTAGGCCTGAACAAATGACTAGGTAAACACGCAGAGTATGGTATGGCGAATATAATAATAGACTCTTCATTAATCATAATTATTTTTACATTTCCTTCTTGTCTTTGGCTTTGACTTCTGCATTCTAATTTCTACAACTGTTGCGTTAGTATCGTTTTCCAAGATTTCTTTCGCACAATTTAAACAGTACCGTAGTAAACTTTTTTCTTTGAAAACGGACGAGAATTCATGACTGCGCAGATCCATAAAATCAAATCAACATGGCCTTACGTAGCAGTGAGAAGGTCAGAAGTACCTGTAGGAGGCAGCCACGAGACTTGGTCTGTCTCTGCATTCCAGTAATAATGGTGCTGACTGGGGAAAAAGAAGACAACAGAATGATGGTATGATTTACAATTATTGTCATTTTCACATGTAGCAGCCACATGTAACGGGAACGGGTTTCTGCGCGTGAAAAATTTGCGCGTGAAAAATAAAAGTCCCTGAAATATGTCAGAAAATATGCAGTACCAAATTCTTATGCTGTAAAATGTGATCCTGTGGTATAATTTTCCATCTGTAACTCAAAATTTTTGTTATAAATTTTAAGTCCCTTGGGAATAGGTTAATTTGCATATTTTCCATAAAATCTGAACATTTGAAAATCACTTGAATTTGTAAGAAATACATTTTTTACACGTTTTCATTTCTATTTTTTTCTTCGGCTGTTGCTAGCCTGATTAAATCGCTTTACGGTTGCCGCCGCCCAACATCCAGCCAGCCCCTGAATGCGGGGTGGGGCCACTAAAGCCACGGACGGCAGAGTTTGCATTACACAGACTAGGCTGTTGCATGCTTCAAAAATACTTTTAAAAAATCTGAGGAACCAACAAATCAAATTGGTGTGGCCTTAAGTCAGTGTGAGCATAACTCACTTTAACAGGCGTATTGTGTAACTTCGTTATGTAATGAAAAAAGAAAATGCAGCTACAATACAGATACAGACAATCCCATTAATAATAGATAAATGACCTTAGACGTCTTTGTTGTAAATGTCAACATCTCTAAATTATTCATGAATGGATCACGTCTCATTTATTTTGAAGAATGAATAAGTCGGTCAGGGCTGTCCTGAGCCTATTTAGAAATTAGACCCTCCCGATTGCAGAGAACAGAGAAGCTATGTTAGAACTGGCGGTTGACAATCTAGAGTGGTGCCCATTGTGTACTAGCCGGCCTGAATTTGTTTTTACTATAATATTACCTTGATTTTGTTTGGCATAATGTCATGGCAAGTACTGTACATGCACCAAAGGCGAAAGCAACCAGGAAAATGTTGAAATCTTGACCGTCTGAAATGATATTTCTGCATATCGGACAAATTATGCTGGTAGACTAAGCTTAGTTTAATAATGACACTCTTTCCACAATCTTTACACTGATTTTGTCCATCAAACTTAGAAGGACTGGACAATTTGTTTTTTCTTCATGAGAGGCAGTGACGGAAAGACGGAGGCTCTCTAGAACACTGGAATGGATAATAAGGTACATTTAACTGTTGTCAAATTGAATGTAAGATTAAAAAACATATCACTTCAGTGAGTAAAGAGACACTTTTTCCACATTCAGGTCTCTTATTCAGCTGACGTTTTGGTGACCTTCCTCTGACTGGTTCACAATTTGCACTGCAGCACAGGTGTGGCACTCACTGAATAAAAGATTTTGTGTAAAAAGAGTCTATTTACTCAGGCACATACATGTGAACCTGACCACCTGATGAAACTACTCAGACATATCGATCACTTCCGTTTAATTTCTATAAATGGTATAATGTGACTCCTTAATATAAGCAGTCTGTGTGTTTTCAGATTTGGAGGTATTTGATTTTGAAACAAAGAAAACCAGCGGGACATACTATAGTACAATGTACCATGGCAAAACTACTACTACTGCTTGCTACTGGACTGGGTCTCTGTGTACTAGTATACGTAATGATATACGGCTTCTTGAACAATTCAATGATAACAAGGTTTGCGTTTAAAAAACCTGTTGGCGATGGGCAACTTCGGCTACTAGTGAATACCACACATCAGGTGGGAACCAAAGGAAAACTTGTACAATCTACGGATGTGTTTAAAAAATCCTATAAACCTGTTGGAGATGGACAACCTCCGCTTCCAGTGCTACCAAATACTACACATCAGCTGGCAACCAAAGGACAACGTACAGACGCGTTTGAAAATAAACCTGTTGGCGATGGGCAACCTCGGCTCCAAGTGCTACAAAATACTTCACATCGGCTGGCAACCAAAGGACAACCTGAACAACTTATGGATGCCATCTTAGTTGGATCATTCAAAAACGATTCCGCTCACTCGACAAATCTAGTAGTAGGGGAGACGGAAAGAGTTTCCAAGTTACGTCAAGAAATGTCCTGTAGATTGAAGAAGAATGTTCCGTTTTCCACCATCACGAGAAAACAGGCAGCCAAAGACAAAAACCGCGCCGTGTTGCCGGAGGAGAGTCTGGAGAAGTTGGTGCACTTTGACTCGTGCGCAGTCGTCAGTAGCAGCCACACCCTGAGGTTTCACATGTATGGACAGGAGATAGGTAGGTTTTTATGGTGATGTAGTTTGGTAAAAAAACGTAAAACGTCAAAATTTTGATAGTTACAGTGCATGCTTCAAGGGGATTAAACTAGTTAGTGATTTTTGTTAGATGCCAGTCCAAATTGTCTTGCAAAGTTGGGTCATACTATAGTACGGATCTAACAGGATATCTATTGAAATGTTAAACATTTTTTTTCTTTCAGATAGCCACGATGCTGTGCTGAGATTCAACTGTGCTCCCACGCACAACTTTGAGCAGTACGTTGGAAACCGGACAGACATCCGTCTCATCAATACACGTATTCCTCAGAGGGACTGCAAGCAGGAGTTCTGGAGTAAAAATAGCACCATGTTCACACACGGGACGCTGGTCATTCGGAACATGGACGGAATCAACGTGGGGCCGCGTGGCGTGGACGTGAAAAGGGATATCCATCACGCATTTAACAACTTGGTAAAATATCGGAAAACATATCCGAACAGGACGCTGCCTTTCATACAGAGGCCTAACTTTGGGAAGGGCATATCAAAAGAACTGGAATGGTTCTGCAATGCTACAAAAATGTGCAACAAGACATGGCTGAGCCCAAGTTCAGGCATGTTTGGTAAGGAGTATACTACTTAGTATGGCTTTTTTGCCATGGACCTGCATTATATGCAAAAATGTAATATTCTGTTTTAATTAATTTACTACTATCACTTCACAACGTGATTTCGCGAGAGTTACGGTTTACAAACACGTGACTCTCACGAGATCATGTTGTGAAGTGATTGGTCATTAATTATTCTGCTAAAGGCGACAGTGGTCGCTGAAAATTTGATCCTGTAAATTATGTGTTGGAATAAAGTTTAACGTTTTACTATAATGAATGATTACTACCAACACAGATGAACTTTCATGATAGTAAAATATACAGTCTAGAATTAATTTCACTGTTTTTCAGGTGTTGTGATGATGCTGCACCTCTGTGACTGGGTCCGTGTTTTCGAGCTGGTTCCCTCAAACAAGGACAACACAACCCTCAACTATTACTACGACGAGACCAAAACTCGCAGCCAAAAACACTCTTACGAGCAAGAACGAACTTACGTCAAAACCTTGTCCCTGACTACGGAAAAAGACGTAGAAAACACCGGCGTGGTGGTGTTAAAAGGACTTTCAAAGATTCGCTGCAGTTGACTCCATCAATTGATTAATTCAAGTTCTGCATAGAATCTATTGAGTTGAAAACAAAATCCATTTTGTCATAGAATTGCCAGCTAAATATGTATGTTGTTATAAGTAATAACTTTCTGCAATGCAGTGCTTATACATGTACATGTAATTGCAAGCATCACTGTTGAATAGACAGTTTATAGGTACATGTATGAGTGAGTATACAAGAATGCATTTATTTACTTAGGTACGTTACGTCATATCAACACGCTTTTTGATATTCTATTCTTTTCTGGTGCTTGAGTGTTCATTTCAATAATAGTTAAGTTAGTGCAATTATAGTAGTACTCTCTAAAATACTTGAAATACTGAGTGCATGTAATAACTACATGTAACATCTGTGTCCATAATATCACCAGGGTCCATAATATCACCAGGGTCCATAATATAGGTAAAAAGGACTGGCTGAACTATTACACTGTACATTTGTAGCTCCAATTTTGGATGCACCAAGGCACACAGTATATAACATCACCCGGGTCCATAATATTGCCACCTTGAGAAATTGTGTGCTTAAAGATATTTTTACTGCAACATACTTTTGGTATGCACTCCTTCACACATCAAATGTACATACATAGGGTAGTTTGCAGTAAAAATATCTTTAAGCACACTATTTCTCAAGGTGGCATTATTTCTTATGGACCCTGGTGAGGTTATATACTGTGTGCCTTGGTGCACCCAAAATTGGAGCTACAAATGTACAGTGTAGTTCAGCCAGTAAACTATTTAGGTGCACCGGTGCACCTGCGGAAAATTTTCTGTACATGTAGGTGCACTGATGCACCTTAATAATTTCGTGGGTTATGAATATGATTATGTCTAGCTTCCTTTTTAGGTGTTCTGGGATTGACTTTTTTTTTTGGGGGGGGGGGGCGTTATTTTCGATCAAACGTAGATTGCACGCAATAGAAGCTCTAGCCGCCAACCCTGGTAGTAGTAGTACATGCTATCCCATCCCGGAATGCCTGAAAAGAGGGCTAGGACATGTGTTAAGTTATCAAATGTACAACATATTCCAGACATTTTCAGGATAGAAAAATAACAAAATCATTATCATTACCATTAAAATTTTTGTTCAACTAAAAATGAATTCCAAGCCCTGTTTAGTAATCAGTTTAAGTTATAAAAAAATAGTAGACAAATATCAGGTGCCTCCTTACTTTTTCTCGTCCCAGACTTTGACCCAGTTTGGTGGCAGTGTGTTGTGATGGTGGCCCTGCTGCAGTACCGGTGTGTCCTGCTTGGTGGTGCCCCAGCGTGTTCTGCAGTACTCCACACAGGTGTGGTAGGGGTTGTTCACGTTGGGGCAGCCGTCCACCTTACCCTTGGGGGCAGTGGTCTCACCGTAGTCTGCTGCTATGATCTCTTCATCTGGAGATTCTAGGATGGAGAAGAAATCAGAGAATTCAGACTTCCAGGAAGCATGTAAATTTTCATGGGCGCCTGCATGGGGGGTCCCGACAATGGCCAACGCTAAATGAGAGCTGGCTACGTATTATGCTGCATTCAGGAAACCTCTAGATTACGCTTTACGATATTAATTCCAAGTGGCCACAATGCATTACGTAGAATTAAAACGGCGAATATGCTATACGCAAAATGCGCCAATTACGCTTTACCATATTACTGTACGTTGAATCAAAATGTAGAATATTCAGTACTTTTGGAGAAAAATAATGCAAGGGACTTTTTCATCACGTTTATGCTAAATATTATGTATTATACATAATATTTAAATTTTACTGGTACACTTACAATAATACAATTTGCATACCTGCATAATGCTAAATACATACTATATACACTAGCCGTAGAGACTCTTGATTCGGGCTTTCATTACCCTCAGAAATATTATAAGCCCGAATCAAGAGTCTCCATTTTGATTTTGTATAACAGCAACGACCTTTCTACTAGTATGCGATATGGTAAACTAAATAAATTGGTGATTAAAAAACAAGCACAAGGATATAGGTCATATAACCTCTTTGTTGTTATCAAATTATACGTACACTTGTATTAATATTTTGTACATGTAGGTGACGGTCGACCGATATTAGTATAAGGAGTAACGCTATGCATATGTGCCCCCCTCCCCACGTTCATATGAGTCACAAATATCCGTATTCACAGCCTTTTAGAACACGCTTACACGGCGCTATCGTTACTTACCTTTCTCCGATTCCTGTAGAATCCCTCTCTTCGCTAGCCGTGCTTGTAAAAGAGGAGGGAGAGGCATATTTTCAGCTGGAAATGACAAGAAACACAGTCCTCGCCACAGCCTTTGCACCAAAAACCTGCAGTTCAATCTAAAATTGCAATGTGGCGCTGCAGTACAATGTCTGGTAAGACATCTAGCAGATAGTTCTGCAGATGCAGATTCGAATGTGTTCTTAGCAACGCAAGGCTTGCCTGGTAACACTTTCTCTCTCGATCGTAAGTGATTTTGGGGGCAAAAATAACGGTTTCTAAACATACCATCGCTCTTAAAGTGTTTTCAAGAGTGTAAAGACTCTTCGTGGATCTTGTTTTTTGTCAGATGATTTGGTAAGAAAAAAACCGAGCCCTGTTTCTTGCGATGTCAACTGTTTTTCGACAACTTTTTTTTCAGAAGTTTGCAGATAAAACCGTGAGTTTCTGAGGCGACAAAGATGACTTTAAATCCTCTGGCGAACCCTAAGGGTGTGAGTCTGCTATGTGAGCTGTGTCAGAAGCCGGCGTTTATCCAGTGTACCAAATGCCGAGTAACGTACTACTGGTGAGTTTACTTTTTGTTGTTACCACTTTAAAGGGGGAGGGGGGCAGAGTGAGTAAAAGGGATCAGTAGCCTCCTCCACAGTATGCCAAAAAACTGGGGGTCTGGGAGTCTTTAGGGTCTTTGGGAGCTTTTATGTGCTATTTCCTATTGCACATAGCCGGCCTGGTTGAATTACCCCCATTTTTTTTAGAACTGGCTATCAGAAAACAGCCGAAGACCACCAAACACCCAGTTCTATAAGCCAGCTACATGTACAGAGGCTAAAGGATCAGGGCGATTCGCCTAAAGTCACATTCGCCCCAACAATTTAGTAACACTATCATATGTCAAATATCCCCCCAACCCGGCCCCGACCCAGACTGTAAGGTTTGAACCACTCACACCGGGAAGGACCCCTACTGTACTCTTTTCGATAAGTGTGATGGGTTCTTTAACGTGCGTAGGGTGTAGCTCTCCCCAAACGCGGGACCTCCATATAACGTCCTATCAGAGGGACGTCCCGAACTGAAGCTAGGTACACATTTCCACCTGAGGAAAGTCGTGTAAAGTGCCTTTCTGAAGGGCACATTAGATCGGTGCAGGATTCGAACCGGGACCTCTTGGGCCTGGGCCGAACACGCTACCTCTACGCCATACAACCCCACAGAATTTTTGCCTATGGACACTTGTTTCTGTTCCAGTGGAGTGGAGCACCAGAAGGCAGACTGGGTGGGGATCCATGAGAAGATAAATTTGTTTGTTTCTGTTCCAGTGGAGTAGAGCACCAGAAGGCAGACTGGGTGGGGATCCATGAGAAGATCTGTCAGATGTTGATCCCGCTGCGCGTCCCTGAACCTTTCCTCAGCTCCGACGACGAACGGCAACACAGACATCAGCAGATGACTCACAGAAAGGTCTGTTTGTTTGTTTGTTTGTTTGTTTGTTTGAGCCATTGTTGGTATCAGAGTAGTAATGAGGTATTCAAATTGGCCTGCTGGCCACTTTTCATTGAAATCATGAGGATGGAAAGAGGTCAAGGTCACACACAATACATGTATTTGTCAAGACTTTTACTTGATTAAAGCCATAGACTTAAAGTAAATATACTAAATCCAGAAACTTAATACAAAACACAATTTATAACAAAAGAAATGCTGCCAATCTTATGGTCTAGGGTGTGTACCAGCTTTATTCAAGAAAGATATTCTGTATACTAGTCTGTAGCCATTATATAGCAGTACCTCATTTGCATAATGTAGATATGTTGGTAGTCACTCTGGTGCGAGTGGATTGAGTACGCATTATGCAAGGGCTAACATTTTGTGGGATGGACCGCATATTCTCTTAAAAGAATATTATAAAACTATCAATCTATCAATATCATGTTATCAATTTTATTATTTTGACTCATTGTTTAACTTGACTCTTTTGTCTACAGAAGCGTATGATTGAGCTGACCCGTACGACGGGACAAAAGCTGTTGTTTGAAGGTCACCACGAGCAGGCCGTCCCCGCTGCCATGCAGTCTCTCCGCTTCAGTATCGACGTGTACGGACTCAGCTCCATCGAGCTCGTACCATCTTACCTCATCCTGGGGGAGGCCAGCATTGGTTAGTTAACATGGAGTGTTTTCCCTTTATCAGACTGTCAGATACCTGCTGGTTACAACTTAAAATTACCTTTACTCATCTTTTGATTACTTGGTCGAGACACTTCTGTCAGCACTAAACAGAGATGGTGGGTGTCATGAAACTAAAACCAAAGAACATTTTCCTGAAATAGAAATAAAGGTGACATTCTTGGTTAAAAGTGTGATTTTCAATATCATAGTTCATTAATGTAGTTGATCTGATGCTGATCATTGTTGCCCCCCTAAAAAAAAAATTACTGTAACAGTAAAAACTTTAAGTTCTACAATACATCAGGCTAAGACTAAGAGCATGCCATTGGGTATTCAATCATGATGAAATTATTCATGGAAGTAAACAGATTTCCCAATGGATAAAAATATACTGTAAAATATTATTTCCCATCCAGGACTAGGAAGACTGCAGCATGCAGAATAACACTTGGCCCAGGTAGAGTGGACTATACTGAAGACTCTGGACTTTATTGATAAACAGAAAAATAAACAAACAAACAAACATGTATTTTGTTTTCTGTTTACATCCAGGCCTAGGAAGACTGCAGCAGGCAGAAGAGTACTTGGCCCAGGCAGAGTGGACAGTACTGAAGACCCCAGAATGCAGCAGTGCCATCAAGTCTAAACTCTACCGGAACCTCGGGCTGCTGTTTGCTGCCAAGGGCAACTACGACGAGGCCAGACACCAGCTGGCAAATGATGTGAGTGTCAGACTCTGTACTTTTCATACTACACTTTGTTTGTATACTACACTGTTACAAAGTTAATGTTCCTTGCGGGTATGAATGAATGATCAATGTTTGGGTGACTGCCTGACTGGTAAGTAGTAGGGTTCAAGTGCCACCAGCTTAGCAGTCCAGGTGATCCAAACTCTTTGGCCTGTCAGTTAGGGCATTGGTTTTGTGAGTCGGCGACCCAGGTTCAAATCCCGGGAGCCAGGTGCTAGTGTCAGTCATTTGTTGTTTCAGTGGTTCCCACAATGAGAATTGAACCAGTTCTTAAGTGGTGAGAGTGCCAAATTCTAACCGCTAAAGATCTGGGAACCACAGTGACTGAAACAGCGAAGGAGGCAAGAAATACTTAGTTCACGGGATTCAAAACCAGGCCACCAACTCACAGACCCAACATCCTAACTGCTAGGCCAAAAGACTAAGTGGCACTGGACTGGTCAGTTGGTGGTGCTTGAACCCCACCAGTGCTGTTGTAACACAAAATCCAAAACGCTTGCCAGCTGTCTATGAACTTAGAGGTCATAAAAATTAAAAAAAAATACTTTCTCATGTCTGAAGTCTCGTACATTTTGTTTCCTCAGATCTACTACGCGAGTGAAGAGTTTGGCCCCCATGACATCCACACGGCCGGCGGGTACTTCCACATGGCTAACGTGTTCTTCAGGATGAACAGGATGGACGTGGCTGACTCTTTGTACGCAGAGGTCAGAAGACATCCTAGCTTTGTACCAAACACACACAAATATTTAAAATGTCTCCACCCCTGAGGCAATACCAAAAAACACCTGTAATCATCTCTTTATGTAGAAGCTACATGGCATTGTGCTCCAAATCTTATGAACACTATGTCGGAAACTTGGCTTAAAATTCTGGTACTCTTTTGATTGAATTAAAATTAATACCTGGATATTTAAAGTGTGCATTCTACATGACATTGTACGATGTGTTTTTGGGTGTGTATTTGTATATGTGTAAAGGAGTCATGACGCACCCGAAATGCATGTTTTAGTTTACATTTATGAGAAACTGACAGACAAACTTCATGCATACAGTATACATTATAAAGTTCCCATGAGCTAATGATTGCATAATATGTAATGCTTCCAGGTGACCAACATCTGGCACCAGCACCTGTCTCAGCTGATCAGGTGGCGACTGAAGACACCTGTGACACCTTCTGGCATCGGTCCAGCTGTAGAGGGGGAACAGGAAGAGGAAGGGGGGCTGGGTATGTATTTGTACCTGATCTAATATTTGTTTGAGCTTAACAATTCTGCTGTGAAAAAATTTTTGTTGTTTTGTTGCAACCTTTTCTTACTGTAACAATTATTTTGTTTCTTTACGATTTTAAATTAATTTCGTTCTTCTACAAATTCAATCATGAAAGAAATTGTGGCTACTACTGGTAACGTCTGTGTCCATAATATCACCAGGGTCCATAATATCGCCACCTTGAGAAATAGTGTGCTTAAAGATATTTTTACTGGAATATACTTTTGGTATGCACTCCTATACACCTCAAATGTACATGTACATACCTAGGGTATGTTGCAGTAAAAATATCTTTAAGCACACCTTTTCTCAAGGTGGCAATATTATGGACCCTGGTGATATCATGGACACAGATGTTACTACAAAAACACAGAAAATGCAAACCATACAAAGGGCGGCATGAAAAACAGCAAAATAACCCCTAGGTCCTGTCACGACCAATGAAAGAGTAACTCTTCAGTAAGATAAAACTAAATGGAGATCACTCTGAAGTCTCAAACTCCAGCCAAAGTCTCTGCTTGGAGAGTACTTAAAATTTGTACTCAGACTCAGAGCTGTTCAGTTGTTGAATGTGAAACACAAGAAAGCAAATTTTTTATTACTGTCAGACATTTCAAGTAGCGTCCACTATCTTTTGTCAGTGACTGACAAAAAGTAGTAGATGCTACTTGAAACATCTGACAATTATCGAAATATATCCAGTTGCTTGTTTCTTCTGTTTACCTGGATGTATAACCTTCATCAACATTGTGGAACTTTGATGAAGGTTAGACATCCTGGTAATAAGATATGCCATAAAACAGTTACTCAAGCAATTAGCAACTGGATTAAATTTTATGATTTTGGAAATGGTCATAACTGCATATGGTTTTGACCATTTCATCATAATTCCAGTTGCTTGAGTAACTGTTTTTTTTTTTTTTCATATTGTGGAATGTTGTTTGTGTGTCCTCTACAGATGAGGCTCAGGAGGCTGAAGCGATCCAGGTGCTGAACTCCATCCATGACATGAGAGAACAGCTGGCCCATCAGAACCCGCTGGGGCTGGCTAACGTCTGCCACACACTGACTATGCTGTACTACCTGCTGAATGATATGGACAAGGTAAGAACCCTAACCCTAACTCTATCACACTAACTATGCTGTACTACCTGCTGAATGATATGGACAAGGTAAAAGAACCATAACTCAGAGACTTACAGGAAGTATTTTTTGGTTTTCATGAACTACTGTTACAGTAGCAAGTTCACCACATTTCCTGTGTCTGACCTTTTGAACTTCAGTCAATCTGCTTGTCAGATTCTCCCCACTCATGAGGTGCTGTTGACTTACGCTCAAATTCACTCCATTTCCCGTGTCTGATCTTTTAACCTGTCTTTCTGTCTGTCAATCCTTCCCAATCCACATCCTGTCAACCTACTCAGACCCAAAACTTATTAGCCACCAAAATCTTTGCCGTGTTACCAAAAGTAACTACCCGGCACCCAATGTCTGCCATACTTTATTACTATATTGAATGCTGTACAACCAGTCTAAGGACTTTTCTGTATGTGGTTGCGCCTTCTGGCAGAAAATTCTGGTATTACAACTACCTAATACCCTCAGATGTGTGTTCCAACCCTTCCCCGCAATGTTTCCCTGCAGGCTCGAGAGTTCAGTCGTAAGGCGCTGCTGTCCAGCGAGACAGCGCCCCCCGGTGAGGACGGGTCGCTCACTACGATCTCCGAGCTCGCCAAGGTTCTCGACGTTCATCCTGAGACGGCTGCTACATCTTAAATGTCAACCTCGCCTTGAAACTTAGCATATATTGTCTACATCACTACTTAATACATACTTAAGTTGTGAAGATTACTTCGCTTCTGAAGGCCACTTCATATTTATGTATTTTATCTCAGATTTGTGAACTGAAAAATAATAAAACGATGGGAATCTGTTTGAAACATAAAGTTTGAGGAAGTAAATATACATGTGTACTAACCATCTGCCAAGTACAATTAATATTTACCTTCACATGGTCTAGACCAACAGACTACAATAACTGTTCTGTTTATTCCTCATCAATTTATATAATAATATATGGTGGCCTGACCCCCCCAATGCCACTTGCTACATAATATAATCCAACGCTACAGTCCATTGCTACAGCACTAGTTACCATTGTGACAGCCATCTGGTCCAGGTCATTGACCTTTTGTGTTTATAGGAGAAAGAGAAGAAACAATCTTTTTTTTTCTTTCTAAAAGGGTAAATGTACATTGCAATTAGCCCCCAATTTTTTTTCTCTGAGTCTTGTTTCAATCTTGACCTTTTTCTGATGAGTTTTTCATAAACAAAAGTCTGAGAAACAAAATGTGAATTAGAGTGGCCATATCTGTGATGTTCTTCAGAGTTCTGAACTGATTGTAGAAAAATTATTGACATTTGAGAAAATGCTAGTCTCTTAGTCTCAGTTGTGTTAATTTTTTAAAAACATATGTTTATATAAATACTATAGTATTTTGGTTTGGGGATGTTTGCTTATGTTTCAGTGAATCAAAACTATATGACATTTTCTTGTAAATATTATATTGCTTTTCTGTAACATTATATTTGTATATATGATTTCCTTATCTGTTAAATTCACAAACTATCTTAAATGGCAAGCTATAATAACTATATTAGACCATTAGACATTGTGAAAACAGTTATATATCTCTTTCGGTCTGTAAATAAAATATAAAAATAATAGTTCAGTGTATATTTCACTTATGGATGAAAAATTAGCGTGAATTTTTTACACTTTTTGTCTTTAGCAGCACTTTTTATGCAAAAATAGCTTTCACATGGGGTAAGGGGAAAGACCAGTACCTGTATAGGTATGGTACGGTACCTACGAAGGCCCATAGGTACAATGTGGTCTACTCTTCTTCATTGTCAGTATTTGTAGAATATGAATGTGTGTGTGTGTGTGTGTGTGATGTGTGTGTGTGTGTGTGTGTGTATGTGTGTGTGTGTGTGTGTTTGTGTGTGTGTGTATGACGTATGCATGACAGTGGCAATTAATTGTCTCCTTCCTCGGGTAATTGATTAACATTTGCATATCTGCGTGGCTAATTTCACATACAGTCACATGTTATGTTGTGATGCAACGTTTTTAGGAAATAACAGTAACACGCCCACGCCAATTCAATCAGTCTGCCACGTGCACAGGGCCAATAAGCAAATAATAAAGAATTCAATCAAAATATAATCAAGAGTACTATTCTTTAATGAATGTCATGAATGATGATTTCAATTTTGTGATATCAAATGGGTCTGAAGATTTGGTGAGCGTCGACGACAATGATGAATAGCAATTTATCGTTAACATATTCAATTGCATTAATTACAAGAACTTGACTTTATAACAATAGCATTGTTGTTGTATAATTTCCAAACATATAATTTCAAATATTGGGAAAGGTTCATTTTTTAGATCTGTGAAAGAAAAGGAACCAAATATTTTTTTACATAATACATATACGTGTCTTTACAAAGTATTCAACAGTTTCCTTCATTACAACTGTTAATTGTAAGATTCATTATAGAAGAATAATTCTTGATATTTATCATGTCCAGACAACACATAAAAAACAACCAATGTCATACTAAGATCGATTATTGGGAAATTTAAAGCTACACCTTTCATGTGCAGATGTGTGTATTGAGTGTATCAATTTTGTTAATTTACAGATACTTCTTAAATTCAATCATGATGACTGTTGCAATGATTTTTATAATATCGGAAAATAGTTTCACTAGGTTTGTAACTTATAGGATATAAGGGACTTCCTTTTTTATACAGCCCCCAAAAAAACATACCTTGCTGTCTGACAGACACCGAAACGTGCGGCAATGTATGATGTTTTGGTTAATGTAAAAAAAAAAAGAAATCCCTTATATGCTATAATACAAGAGATTCCACGTCTACATTCCACATCTAAGTGCAGATAAGTGAGTGAATTATTTGAGTAAATAATTACTAGCCTCCACCAGGCTAGAAGCGGCCGAAAAGTGTAGAATTGGCCAGATGGACTGAAAACATGCCAGGGAAGTTGGTCCGCTAAATAAGTAATATAAATGTTCTCTTTTAGCGGACCAACTCTCATTGCATTTTATCTGTCTATTTGGCAAATTTCTTCATTTTGGGATCCACTCGATTAGAAAAGAAATAGTGAACATAATGTATGAGATTCTAATTCAACTTGCCGGACACATCACAGTTTCAAATGCTCTCTAGAACTCTAGAATACTAAATGACCATTTCAGAGTGACTTTGGCCTACTTTACACATAACTTTTTCAAGTCAACTAGAACTCAAGACGACTTGAGCTAGTCGACTTGAGCGAAAATTGCCCTGTGTAAAGAGAAATAATTCAACTCAAGTCGCATTCTAGTCAAGATGACTTGAGTCGTGTCCAATCCAGACTTAAGTCGGCCAGCGGGGTGTCGAGTCCACTACCTTTGCGTGTGTAAATGGGCGAAGTCGACTTGAGCACCTCTGCGTAGTAGTCAGGCAAGACCGAGCCACCGAGTCGACTTGGGGGGAGGGTGGCACAGCGGGAGTGCCAAGTCGCTTTGTGGATCCGTGTGTAAACAGAAATTTTTCAAGTTGACTTTGCTGAGTCGACTTAGAAATGGTCTGTGTAAAGTGGGCCTAAGTAGTTAAGTTTCCATTTTCTATGTGAGATGGAATTCGTGTCCAGATCTTTTCTACGGTTGTTTAAAACTTGTCAAGAAAATATTTTGAAATATTAGGAAACAAATACGTGTTCCAGGTTTATAAAAGGCAGATCCATTTCATTAGCCACTATAAATTAATTTTATGCTTTCCAAAATCACTTAAAACCTAATACCACGTTTTATAATTTAACAATAGCCATTGATGTATTGTACAAGTGACAAAACTAGAGATTTCGAAAGCAGTTCTGTTGCAAATCAAAAACAAATATCTGTGCTGATAACGTCAAAATTGGCCGTGCTTCAATTATTCTTTGCCCTTAGAATCTAAATTGTTTAAGTGCGATTCAATAGATTTTACATTATGGTCAGTTTTTTTTTTCAAATTCTTGCCTTGCGTGTTAGCTTTCATATATCAGGTTATAATTTGTGGCTGAAGATAGAGGTTAAGTGCTGTGACCTGTACGCTTCTTAATGGATCCAAAACAAGAAATCCTAGATTCCGGATTTAAAGTTCCGGGATCGGACGTATGTGACCCTCAACTTCCTTAGTCATTATGTCTCTACGTCTAATTCTAGCTGGCTCTCTGCCAGATTCTGAGACTCCCCCATTATTCTGCCTGTCAATCTTCCACCACAAAAGTGATCTCATCCTATATATATACTGGTTTGGACACTCAGAAAAAAGTTCAGACACCACGAAACAATACTGCTATAACACCATAGCAAGAATATTATTTTTCAGAGGTCGCGTGGTGCCGAGTTACATGTAGCAACACGTCAAGTGTCAAATTCGGATGTTTTGAAAATGTGAAATGATGTTCACATCTGCCAAAATTTGCCAAGTTTTCAGGGACCATGACTCGCCAAAGTTTCCAGTCGTTTTTGAATAGGTTCAGTGTCCAACCGTGTCTACTTCATACAGTACTGAAGGTTCGCTTGTCTGAGAGTCAGGCTGTCCATTGGCTGGTTTGTACATAGCATCAGGTGTGTTCTGCTCTTCTGATTCATTGCTGTAGATCCTGCTTGTGTTTGGAACCATGTTTTCTTCCTCTACTTCATAAAGCTCGCTTGTCTGAAACTCTGACTGTCCATGAGCCGGGTTTGATTCTTTGTTACATGTAGCATCTGGTGGTGGTGGCTGTTCGTCTGAGCAGGTGATCGGCTGCTTGACAATTGTTGCGTCTTCATCTGGCTGAAGGTGTGACCCTGGGTTTTCATCGTAGGTCACTGCATATGGGCGAAGCTGTGGTCCTGGGTCTTCATCGTGGGTCACCGCATATGGACGAAGCTGTGGTCCTGGGTCTTCATCGTGGGTCACTGAGTACGGCTGAAGCTGTGGCCCTGGGTCGTCATCGTAGGTCACTGAGTACGGATGAAGCTGCGGCCCTGGGTCTTCGTCGTGGGTCACTGCATATGGCTGGATGGAATCGTGTTGTTCTGGGGTTTGGACATGAGCAAGAGATGTGGTTGCATACGGCGGAAGCTTGCCATTTTTCCCTTTCCCTGACACATCGACATAGCTCACGGCATATGGCTCGATGGTGTCGTCGTTTGTTCTGGGGCTTGGACATGAGCAAGAGATGTGGTCGCATATGGCGGAAGCTTGCCATTTTTCCCTTTCCCTGACACATCGACATAGCTTACGGCATATGGCTCGATGGTGTCGTCGTTTTGTTCTAGGGTTTGGACATGAGCAAGAGACGTGGTCGCATATGGCGGAAGCTTGCCGTTTTGCCCTTTGCCTGACACATCCACATAGCTCACGGCATACGGCTGGATGGTGTCGTCGTCATCTGATGGAGTAGTTTGAGCGTCTGCTGTTGGTGAGGTCATACTTGATGCTTGCAGTTCAGATGTGTCCGAGTAGGTCACTGCGTACGGCTGGATTTCATTACTAGTTTGATTTTCTTCAGTACCAGTTGGTTGGTCACGATTGGCCCTCTCCACACCACGACCGCGTTTTTTGTAGATGAAGATGATGACCACTGTTGCCAACACAAGGAGAAGGGGCGCTGCAACGGCACCGATCATGGCCAATACGTATACGTAGGTACTGTTGTCATCCTTGTGAGATATTGCCGGGTCTCCCTCAAGAAGAATGACATTGTCCATCTCTGTTGTTTGCCGAGAGGCTGTCATGTCATTTGTGTTTGGCGACTCTGTATAGTCCCCGATGGAAACAGTCGTGTTGAACAGATCGGTCGTGTTGATTGCTGGTGAGACCATCTCAGTAGCCGTTGTAATGAATATTTCGGTATGTCCCGTGGGTGACATGTTGTTTTGTGGGGTGTTTGTGTGATCATGATAAGGTGGGCAGCTGATGTCCTTGATGAGACGACCTTTAACGTCGTCATAACACTTCATTGCTATGCGATCGTCATAGGGAATCTGGTCCAGGATATGTAGGTTGCAGATGAACCATTCTAGACCCTTGTCACAACGCAGTTTGTTATCCTTTATTATGATATGTAACCCCGGATTTTGCTGCAGCTGCAAGATATTGCTGTCAATAGTGGCAATGTGATTTGTTGTCAGGTGTGCGCGACATGGTTCCTTACACTTAGGCAGCTGCAAAAGTGCCTCAATTGGCACAGAGGTCAGTTTGTTAAAATTCAGATACAGATGTAGAAGCGAGGTCAGGCCACGGAATGCGTACTTGGGTATGACAGAAATCATGTTTTTGTCAAGGAAGAGGGTTGTCAAGTTCTGAAGACCACGGAAAGCATCACGTTCTGAATGGAAATACAAGAAGCTTTTTTAATTATCAATATACACAAAGGACGACATTCAATGTGAGGTACGTACACTCAAGTTCATGACTTATTTTGTTGCGCCATATGCACACAGAACAAAATTATTCAAATTATTTGTAGATTCTCCAAAGATCACCAAAAGACTAAGTTCCAATATACTAAGATCACAAAACCCACTAATTATGCAGAATGTGGGACTATTCAATATCCACGCACTGCTTTAAAAAAGAAGCCGAACCCCGTAATAGCTAGTGTAGTAGTAGAGGTAGAAGTTTTTCGAAAGACAGCTGTTGCCCGTCTTCTATTACCGTATTGCAATGAGTAGTATACTTCATTGTGAAAGCAATTAGCCTTCGGGCTTTTGCAAATAAAGTTTCAAAGTTTCACTGAATGTTTTGATCGACAAATAACTCTATCTATCTATGTATCTAATAATAGTATCTATCTATATCTATGTATCTATCTAATAATAGTATATCTATATCTATATATCTATCTATCTATATGTATTGTTCCCACTGAATCAAAACATTGCACAATGATTGAAAACTTTTGTTTTTCAAAATTGTTTCCGTGAAAAATGGATTTTATAATAGTTGTAAACTTATTGTATATAAAGTATACATGTAGGTATCATGTATTGTTTAACAAGGTTCACGATGTCAGAAGTTTAAAATGTAGGAATTTTTTTTTTCGCCTTATCGCATTAGGCTTGGAGTCTGTGGGGGATGTCATGCATGAAATTTACTTGCTGTGGCCCAAGTCGAAATAGTTTAAACTTACCTATGCTGGAGATTCGATTTTCAGGAAGATAGAGGTTTTCCAACACTGGCAGACCATCAAAAGCCCCAGATCTTATCGTTGAAACATTTGAAGAACGTATCGAAAGGAAAGAAAGATTCAAAAGTGGAGGAAACGTCTTTTCCTGGAGTGTGGGAGCGCGGAGGTGATAAATGTAGATTTGTCCTATTGCTCCCCGAAAGTCAGTTGGTATCGCATCGAGGCAAACTGGGAAGCTGTAATCCTTTCCCCCATGTCCAATCCAGCTACAGGATGCCCCAGTAGCGTCCTTACTTGGACAGTCACATTGTGGGACCCACAATGGAGAGGGAGGGGGCCTTAATTTACAGACGCCCGGGCATTGCGGAACTGCCACACTCACGTTTAGATGGTTACTAGTGACCAGTAACAGCGCTAGCAAGAACAGTTCGTTACTTCGTCGCATCTTGACAACTGACTGACGCGTGCATCAAATGAATCAACTGCAAGCATCAGTGAAGATGCACGGCGGTTGCAGACATGTCCCTCCAGGATGCTCTGTTTTCGGCCAGTTGGACAGGTGGAAGGAGTACTTAAGTCCAACCTGCTCAGTAGACCTACACCATCTCACACTCGAGGAACTAGCAGACGCGGCAGTACCGAACAATAACATCAGTACGTGTGCATGCAAATTTGTCTTCACGTCTTGAGTTGATTGGTTATTACCAATTTGTACTCCCTGTATATGTACATGACATGTACACGTGTGCCATGCATGTACTGAGGAAATTAGTCTGAGCACGTTGCTGCTGGCAGTATTTCAGCTTGCAATTTGTTGGTACAGTTAAGCTGCAATATCGCTCATTTTGCATAAATATTCATAGACTATGGCCTTATGCCGGAAAAGCGTCCGGCATGAAGGCCACTACTTCACAACAATAATCTTGATATAGGAGCCGCTCACTTTAGAATCTACTCGTACGTAAGAAATATAATCACACAAACATGGACACGGTTTTGTGGTTGGCTGTAACTTAGTTAGAATCCGAAGGTTCAGGGTTTGAATCAGTGGCAGGCCCCATGCAGTGGTACCTATATATGACCTTTGGAAAGGTGATCTATTTTATGGACAACCTTTTTTAAGGGACACATCAATCCGGAGATCCGTTTTAGAAGACACGCCTGGACTACGCCTGGAGTACGTTAAAGAACACAACACGAGAGTTGATTAAGATTTACAATCTGGTCTCTGGGTCGGCATCATGAGAAGGTGATGGACACATGTTATTATATACTTTTGAAACTTTTGTAATGACTTTGCAATTTCCTTCCACGTTTACTTAATTTAAACTTCATGGAAGGAAATTGCAAAGTCATTACAAAAGTTTCAACTGTCATGGAAGGAAATTGTAAAGTCATTACAAAAGTTTCAATTTTCATGGAAGGAAGTTGTAGTCTTTACAAAAGTTTCAAAATTGCAAAGTCATTACAAAAGTTTTGTTATTGAAGGAAATTGTAATGTCATTAGAAAAGTTTCAATTAACGTGGGAGGAAATTGTAGTCATTACAAATGTTTCAATTAACGTGGAAGGAAATTGCAAAGTCATTACAAAAATTTCAATTGTCATGGAAGGAAATTGCAAAGTCATTACAAAAGTTTCAATTATCATAGAAGGAAATTGTAATGTCATTACAAAAGTTTCAATTAACGTGGGAGGAAATTGTAAAGTCATTACAAAATTTCAATTGTCATGGAAGGAAATTGCAAAGTCATTACAAAAGTTTCAATTATCATAGAAGGAAATTGTAAAGTCATTACAAAAGTTTCAATTGTCGTGAAAGGAAGTTGCAATGTCGTTACAAACGTGTTAAAATGCAATCTTCAAATTGACCACACAGAAATAAAATCAACTGACAGACGTCACTCATACAGAAACACACACACATAGGGATGCATGCCCCCCCCCCCCCCGTTACACAGAGACACACACACGCATGCATACACAGGCATACACACGCGTGCGTGCAAACACACATGCACAAACACACACACACACACACACACACATAAACACACACACACACACAAACAAACAAACAAACAATATTGCAAAAGCTGTATTTTAAACCTATTTATTGTTATTTTGCTGAGAATACATTTTACATTTATTTATTGGGACATTCTCAGAGACTTTCAGAAACTGTGACAACGTGGCCTTTGCAAATAGGATCAAAGTAAATATGGGTCTACATCTCATGACTATACATTTTGTACATGTTGTATACAAAGCAAAAGATCTACTAGTAGACAATATAAAGAACATAGTATCTTTTGAGCTGTACTGAGATTAAACATTTGTTATAATTTTCACACATTATACATATTACATTAGTGGCAACTTAAAGGCAGAAACTTTAGCCCTTTTACTTCAACATATATCTATTATGATTATAGAAAAATGTACATTATGTGAGCATAAAACGCTCAGACTAGAACAATACATGTACATGCATAAGACGCTTTGGAAGGAAGAATTGGCAGGAAATCAAAATTTAATCAAAGACTTTCATACATACACAATGTCAATATTTTACAAACAACACAACATGAATAGACTTTAACAAGTAAACCTTTTATTTACAATACAGGAAAAAGCAATGTACAAAACAGAGTTACATCTTTACTACTTAAAAGATAACAGTAAATATATAAATAAACATTATCAGAAATGATTGTAATAATAAATTACTGTGTATTAACCATTTCACTGCTGAAGTTGAATCTACTCTATATACTGAATTTGTATTGCTGAGGACTTAGCATGAGGGGGGTTCAGAGTATACTAGTACTATTAGGTAATATCAGGTATTAGCTGTAGTTTGCTTTGATGCAAAATGTCTCTTCATTTTTATCATCCTCGTCATTGATGAAGATGAGGATGTTTGTTGTGCCCTGCTGCTGACTGGGAGCAAACCTCATCCCGATGGTGTACACATCCCCTGAACCCAGCTGGAAATACAAATAAATACTTTCATTCAAATGTTGCATGGATGAAAGACCTTTAATGTACATTTAATAATATCAATAATATTATCATCAGCCTCTTACAAGCTAAGTATAGGTCACAAAATAGAATCTGATACAAAACGTATTTTTGAGTCTCAGATTGGACATGATACTTTGGAATAACTGCTCATATGGGGAAGACCGTGGAAAACTTAGCTAAGTTTTGTTCCAGACATAATGCAGCGGAATTGGTAATGGGTACATTGTTAATCACATACAACTGTATGACGTAACTAATTATAATAATGATTTCATGTTTCATATAAGTACACATCGATCTCTGATGACCATATTCTGTAACCCAGGGCGTACAGGGTCACATCCCTGTCAATCAACTTAGACCCTCTCAGTTCCAATCTACTCAGGGACAGAAAGCACACAACTCTCTTAACCAATGCTGCAAAAAACAATACTTCTGTCTCAGAAGTAAAAAAAAAAAAAAAAAAACAATTTCAGGTGTGCATACAAATGTATTTACTCACCTCGAATGTGTTTTCCTTGAACTGCAGCAGGTCCTGTCTGTTGGTGTGTAGGATGAAGGTTTTCCTGTGCATGTAGGGGTTTGTGTAGGGGATCCTTTTGTTGCAGCCTTTACCTCCTCCTATTGGCAGCTGCAGATCAAATGCCTGGCAGGGAAAACAAAATCTTTTCCTTAAAAAATGTATAAATATTGCTCTATGTGTAACCTTGAAGACACTGTTTGGATTGAAAGCAGATTAGCCCTATCTGTGAGTTCACTTGGTTGTACTCACTGTTTATTGGACTACAAAACAAACAATCAAACAAACAAACCTTGGAGATGACAGCCTCTTTAGTCTGCACACAGATGAGCCATGTGCGGATGAGTTGGTGGTACTCCGTGTCCACTACATTAATGTACAGGAACTTGCTGCCCACAGACAGAGGTCTTACACCAACGTTCACCTCGTGGACTGCATTGGCTGCCAGCATGAAGGGTGTGTCTGGGGAAACCTGAGGAGAAAACAAAATAAATAGAAAGGTAACATTGCTGAATGAAAGACTTCAAAAGAGTCTCTTTACTCAGTGTCTTACAAACCTGATGAAACTATTCATGGATGAAGTTATTCATGTATTACTAATCAATAAACTACTGTGTGAGTGTACCCCACCTGTATTTCTGTAGGGTGTGAGGGGAAGACCCTGACCCACCTGTATCTCTGTAGGGTGTGAGGGGAAGACCCTGACCAGACGAGAGGCGTTCGTCCCCCTCAGAATGAGAGAGAAGCGGCTGGTCTGCCCCTCCACACAGCTGATATCAACCCTCTGTAGGGCGTGGAGGTAGAACTGCCAGATCTGACACGGCTTCGACTGGTGAGGGTCCCTGGGCAAGGAGACAATTTTTTTATTCCAACATTTCATGACTAGACATTTGGTGACAGCACACTCAAGCTATATCAACATATTTTATGCCGCCACTAACGCAGAGGATGAATACAGGACAAGACAATACTCATTTTCACTTGAGTTAAGTGAGGAAAGTCGTGTAAAGTGCCTTTCCCAAGGGCACAAGATCGGGGACTCGAACTGTGACCTCTTGGTTCCGAATCGAGCATGCTGCTGCTACGCCACACGACCCCAATTACAATTTTGTTTAGTTTCCTTGATTATGAAGTGGCTTAAACACAGCATGAGACCAATTACAATGAATCACAGTTATAAGTTCTTGCGAAAATAAGTAAAACATGCACGGTAGGCATTATTCAATGATAATTTGGTAACGAAGTCGATCAGTGTAATGTAGCCAGCTGCTGCCGCGCCGCGTGCCTGCAAAGCTGGTGTGTTACGCTGATGGACGGTTATACCGGCTACACAGATACAGAACGTACGTGTAAATGATGACAAAGAACTTCTTGACAGAAGGAGACGGGCCACAGGCTACTTTAAGGAAGACGTCTTGTGGCTCGCCCGCCTTGACCTTCCTGGTCTCACAGATGACGTTGGGGTCGCTGCAGCAGGCTGAGACACTGGTGAACCCACCGGCTGTGACAACTGCTCCTGGGAAACAGAACAGGGACATGGGAATCACATTATCCCTGCAAAATGTGATGTCTTGTTGTGTGAAGGTAAATGCGTGTAATCAAATATGTATAGTATAATTATTATTATATCACTATTACCTAACCACTCAAAAATCAGTGTAGCTGCATGAGATAAGTTATTTTTAATAAAAAAAAATTAATATAATTAAATGTAATAGTAGTATAATTTGATCATAATGTCTTATGATATATATTATATAGATTATTTAAAAACAAATGAGAAGCCTATGATGAAATTGCATTCTGTTTAAAATTCTACAGTATCTATGATGCTGAATGAGATGATTCCTTTAATAATAAGTAAAATTGCATCACATACATGTAAATGTATAAACTGTACCTTGTAGCTGGTGGTATGGTGGGAGTCTGATTGCTTTCTTTAAGAAGGACTGTTCAGGGTGGTAGAAGCGGAAGGTCTGGTCCACCACGTGAGGCTGGGGGCTGACGTTGACCGTCAGGATGGACACGGGACGGTGGTCAGCAGCACGGAAGTACACCTGGTATAATAAATAACTCACTTGTATTAATTTCCAGTAGAAAGGAATTAACGGAAAAACTATAATGATTATTATAATTATTATAGTTTTTCTGTTAATTAATAATAAAGACTAATACATGTGAATGAATATCATCATGACTCCAGGAAGAATAGTGAGCCTATGCATATACTCACTAATGGAGATCTTTCAAATAATTTACATAATTACATTGTATTTAGGAATTCACAAATACTGAAGGTAGTGCGGAATTAGAGTGTCAGTTTTATGTAATATGTTTACTTTTTCAATTTACATGTATAACTGTGCGAAAAAAACAACAACAAAAAATGTACAAACACCTTGATGTTCCGTGAGTGGTGCATGGTGGGACGGAAGCCTGTCATCAGCTGTGTCGTCTGACTTGGTATCATGGTGTCAGACGGACCCTGTTCACAAACGTAGCAATGTGTGTAAACAAAAAAAAGTAAAAAAAGGTGTGAACAAGAACAACAGGTGTGTGGTATACACAAAAACATCAGATTCCCAATCATGGTTCTGTTTCTATCCTCCAAGTCATCTAAAAATTTTCTATCTGTTCATTTCGTGTTTTTTTTTCAAATAGATGTTAAATTTGTGCCTACTATATATCCCTCAGTCAAAACTTTTCCTTTAACTTTTTAGTTACTGTTACAGTAACAGTAACTGTAACAGTAACAAAAAATGTTTGAGCCCTGCTAACAATTAGCTTGAACAAGTACAAATGTATAGTACATGTAGTAAAAAAAGTTTGTACAACTACATATTTTTCAAATGTAAGTATTTTTTTAATTTGTGGCTGCGAAAAAGTTTGTTAAGTTTGTTAAAACTACTTTCAAAGTATTGCAAAACAATTTTATCTTATCAATAATTTACACACTGTAGTATATTACATGTAGTTTTGAATTTCTCTTAAAGCATGAAAAGTTTCTCTAGAGTCTTCAAACAAGGTAATTAATGTCAGCAAGAAGTTATTTCTTGGGTTTTACTTTTAGATAAGAGTAGAGTGACACCTGCATGCATGCAACCTGTTATCTTCAAACAATACTCATCATATATGTGTATGAAATTTAAAAAAATCTACCTGAGGTTGGACGGTGTGGTCAGTCTGCAGACTCTGGTACTTGAAGGGCACGTAGACAGACTCCCGCGGTCGGAGGAAAATGGCGGGAAGGCCGGACACCGAGGTCGTACCAAACATGCTCTCCTCCAGGGGGGTGTTCAGGTCGTGGGCCTGCTTAAACTGCCTCCACTCTCTCACATCAGTGACAATGCTGAAACAATGAAAATATTTCAAATTTTATGGACACGGACAGTGCAGCGTAATGGTTGGGTATTTGGCACAGAACACAATCATGTAGAAGATACTACCTGCATGTAGCTTAGGTTAGGGACGTCCCTCGTTCCTGTGTTTTGGAAGAGCTGCAATTAATGAACTCACCACAAAAACCAGCGACTTGAAAAAGTCACTGTGTCATGCTTCACTTCAGATGAGAATGACAAAAGAAGACTAACACACTCTAAAAAAGTTGTTTTAGTTTTTTTTTTTTTTTCAGGACAAACTTCACGAACATGCACCTGCAGTTCCAAATTAAAGTGACAGGTGTCTCACCTGAGTTGTGGAGAGTCACTGTCCACAGTGATGGTATGCTCCACGTTATACGGGTTCTTCAGTACAAACTCAAAGAACTCGGCTGTGCCCAGACTGGGGAAGACTGTGTAGTGAGTAGTAATGACCTGGGACAACAGAAAATACAATAATCTTCTCTAATTAACAGAACATTTTTTTCTATAAAGACCTGTACAAAGTGCTGAAGCATTGTATGCCTTATCCTTTGAAAAATGCTGATAGGGAGAATTGAGTGTGACAGGCTGAATAAAACTTGACGAGATGTTGGTTAACTTGAGGAATGAATCACCTCCACTACAATGTATTATAATTAATATATAATGTAAAGAGAATTAAAATTAAATGTGACAACTGACAGTAAAACTACTTGAGAATAAAGGAATCACCTGTGACAACATGCTGGTGATGCCATCATGTTTTGTCTGTTCTCTGTACAGTTCTACTGTTCTCAGGTCCCTGTTCCTCTGTGCTTTCTCTTCTTTCTGGAGCTGAGAAGAAAAAAAAACACTTGCAGGGCAAACACATAATGTTTAGTGCCTTCACAGAGTGTCACATGTAAAGCCTAATAAACCCCTCTATTTGTTCAGATAATTTTATCTAAAACACAATAAATTTCATGTTTATGTTAAAACAATATGGTCACCAAAATTCCCCTCCAACACTTGCTACATAATATGGCCCAACACCACTGGTTGTCTGATGCAACACCAGTTACCATAGTGACAGACATCTGTTTCAGGTCATTGGCCTTTTTTGTTTTAAATTGAAAAATAGCAATTAAGTCCATATAATGATGAGATGCCACATACCAGTACAGTGTTGACAGTGTTGAGGTCCTTCTCACAACCCTGGGTCTGTCTGACAGCCTGCATACGAGCCAACTTTCTCTTCCTTACTGAGTCCAACTCTCCTCCAGTGTCCTGTCAGAAATCAGGATCACAGTACAGTGTACATTAAAATTCTATCATATCCAAAAAGTAGAATCTACGTGTCATGTGCATGTATGCCTGAATGAGTTAAGGTTAGGATGAAGCATGGTTTTTACTACATAGTTTTTAAGTACTCAGTATCTAAGAACACAGTACTACAGTTAGTACTAGATTTAAAGAAGGCACCTGCCTGGAAGTGAACCTATCCAGAAAAGTGCCTGAGTACAGAGGATAAAGCATGGTTCTGGGTACAACAGTAAGAACAAAATAGATAAATATTATTATTATAGTATATTTTTAGATAATTTTTCTCACCAAACTTGCTAGCTGGGTGATGTTTGGATCCTTTCTTGCAGTGAGGACCAGTGCAAGTTCATTGTCTGTCTCTGCCAGTCTCTTAGCACAACTGGTCTTCTGTTTCATAACTGTCATTAAATTGAGAAAAATAATGGAAAAAACGATGATTCTTTACAAAATCTAGTAAAGCTTAGCATACAATGTAGTACTAATAAATTGATCTTGTTGCACTTGTTATGAAGATTTTGTCCACATTTCCCCAATGTACAGGCACAATGTTCTACCAAATTCCTAAACTCCTATTACTGGTAGCATCAGATTTTGTAACACACGCAACTGCTGAGTTTATTTAGATTAAACAATTAGCATAGGGCCTAGTTGCTATTCTCCCTGCGGCCCTACTATTGATACAACACTACTACATGACACACAGGAGAGTAACGTTATTATACAATCACTGTCATTTTGACAATTAACAATTATAATCAAGCAATCAATACTGTAACATAAGACAACTTGACATGAGCTCCATATTATGAATACCAACTGTTTGATACTAAAATGACTACTGTTACAACAATTGTGCTCTTACAGCTTATGAGTAACACATGCTAACACATAATACTGTAGCACAGTACAGCTAAAATGATTGTAAAGATCCAGCCTTACTTACGTGGACTACCATTACTTGTATTTGTGGCAGCTGGCCCTATGTGAGAGGACGCAGAGGGAACCACTCTGGATGGAGGTTTTGGAACAGTCACTGTAGTTTTTGGAAAAAAAGGAAAAGTATATTCTGTATCATTCTGCATAGCCGGTATAACCTCCCTTCGGCGTAACACCTCAATCCTTGGTTGACAACTCTGGTACTTGAAAGCATGACTGTTTCTTGTTCTCTTCTGGGCTGGTATTAGGTATTGGGAGACTCTTTTTACACAACCAAGTCTTTTATTCAGCCGACGTTTTGGTGACCGTCCGTCACCTTCCTGTGCTGCAATGCAATGTGAACCAGTCAGAATTGCCCTGATAAAGGTGACAGACAGTCACCGAAACGTTGGCAGAAAAAAGACTTGGTTGTGTAAAAAGAGTCTATTTACTCAGAACGTAAAGGTATCAGGACAGTAGCACACTGCACACGGGTGGTTTTTCACCTGTACCAGGTGTAGAACTATGCTCACCTGTGCCATCTCCCCTAGCCTTGTCCTGCAGGTGCCCCACATTAGCCATGCGCAGGTGCAGCCGTCCCTTCAGGAGGGTGCTCACTCCTACTGGACGCACGCTGCCTCCTCTGGTCTGAACACAGTAAAGGGAGAAGGGAACAAGTCTTAGGGTTTAAGGATTTAGGCACCTTTCCGACATGTTGGAAGCTGTACAACATCGCTGTCTAAGGATCATCGGAATTCCTAAGGACGCTCTGCCTTCGCTGTCCAGTAGGCGTGACACAGCCACACTGAGAACATTACAGAACATTCTTCAGGACAGCAGTTCTCCCCTGAATGAGTTTCTCATCCCGCCGTGTGTCAGCCGCTACAGTCTACGGCGAGAGGGCCGCTTCAGAGCAACCAAGAGCAGAACAAAAAGACATGAACTCTCATTTGTCCCCAGAGCCCTGAAACTGTTGTACCACTCTGGCAACTGAACATGATTCTTACAACTCATGTCCAACTTACTGTTTCCTAGCTATATGTAAATTCTGCATTAATACTAGTACTTGTTCTTCGAGGAAATACTATATTTTGTCAGTGTAAAGTGTTTTTAATCGCATTTTTAATGTAGTTTTTATCGATCTACTCTGTGTATTTTAAACGTTGTCAAATACTGGCTCAATTCATGTTTTTTTAAACTTTTAACATGCCATGCCAATATGAATAAAGCTGAATCTGAATATATAAAATACTACCTGCCTAAACACGGGTGGGATCACCCAACGGCTGAAAATATTTTTGATTTTTTTTCAGTGTATCTGTTATCGTGTTTGCTTGTGATTCCATACTCAACCCATATTTTTTTTATATATAATGTGCTGGGGATGTCAGTAACACAAGCAGAAAATTAGGTCAAAGTTCCTTAAAAGGTCACTGAAAAGGTAATCTTATTTCCGGTCTTTAATTCCTAACCATAAGATAAAGAAAAAACAAAAACAAGTACTAACTGTGGGTTGATGAAGAGACAGAGTGTGTCTCCCCAAAGTAGCTAAATATATAATAACTCAATATTTGCCCAAACTAACCAGGTCCCCTGTCAGAGTCGGTGTGTCCTCAGAGTACTCTGTTGTGATGACATCAAGCTCATGAGTCACCTGGACAGCTTCACGACCTTGTCTGCACAGGTGCTGTTTACAAAAACAACACAAGAGTAAAAATTTAATGATGAATAAACCTGGTGAGATAATGGCCTTTGTCACTTTGTGATGTGTAGATGGTCTTAGCTTTAAGAAGATAACCTTATACATACATATTTTGCCTTGGAAATAATAATAAGATATTTCCAAACACCCCATGAATCCAGAAGGTTGCTGTCCCTGGTGCTGAATCAGATTCACACTGACACTGCTGTCCCTGGTGCTGAACAGCAATGAAACTAACGTCCCTGTACTGAATGACAATTATACTCAGACATTGCTGTTGCAGGTTCCTAGTACCAAATGATATTCACACAGTCACATTGCTGTCCTTAGTGCTAAATGACATTCACATTGACACTGCTGTCCTTGGTGCTGAATAACAACAACACTGACACTGCTGTCCTTGGTGCTGAATGACATTCACACTGACACTGCTGTCATTGGGGCTGAATAACAATAACACTGACACTGCTGTCCTTGGTGCTGAATGACATTCACACTGACACTGAATGGTACAGAATGGCATGTACACTGAAACTGCTGCCCCTTGTACTTAATGGCATTCATGCCGACACTGCTGTCCTTGGTGCTGCTTGAAATTCACACTAACATTGCTGCCCTGGTGCTTTAGAATATTTACATTCCTGTTCTTATTCTTGCCCCTGGTGCTAAATGTCATTCACACTGACCAAATGATAACAGTTACTCTCTGACTGTGAAAGTTACAGTGCATCCACTTTTGTTTGTTTGTTTGTTTGTTTACCTTAAGGTCCATGGCACATGACCCTATGAGTAGTAGAGAGTCTCCGTCCCAGACATCTATGTGCAGAGTCTGTACTGAGAGGAACTGGACAAATAGTCTGGCTTCTCCAGGCTTCAAGAAGGAAGGATCTATGTGGTACTTAGTCTGGAAAATGGGGAGAAAAGCACAGACAGTTAGACTGCAAAAACACTGTACATAATCCTCTGGAAATAAAATAAAACAAGAATCAGAAAATCCAAATGTTAAGAAATATACAGTTACAGAATTACATCATATATTGAAAGGAGTTTATGCTCCGAAACATTCAATTCCTCATATACAGTCTACAAGGCATGTACAATGTATTTATAGGAAAACTTGAGTTAGCTGCAGTACCCCACCTGACAGCCGGGGGGACTCTGTACCACTGTTCCGTCTTTGTTGATTCTGTACAGGATACAAGGCATGGAGCCGGGGTCAGAGGTCAGCTGCTTGTCTGCGGCACCCAACAGGAGTCTGTAAAATAGGGAGTACATGATGGTGTCAAATTAGCGTTGACTTGAGTACATTTGTAATACACAGAGACTATGTTGGTACAGGAATCTATTAAGTAATCTTGTTGTCTAAGAGTCAGTTCTGTTATAGGATATTTAAAGTTAAAGGCATTCAATGCAATTTCAAGGCATCAAAACAGAAATTCTAATTGTTAATTTTCTGTTCATTCTTTTAATGTTAAAACAAACAGATCCAGACTACAAGCTAGTTGAGGAGAATTAGAAGTGAGAGAGCTTGAAAAGAAGTTTTTGTACCTTTCTGTAATGAGTGGAGGAAACCTGTAGAACTGGAGAGTGAAAAACACAGTGCTGGGCTGGGAGGTCGCAGAACCACTGGGTTGGGCTGAGAGCATCCTATATGTAGCATAAAGACCATTTACTTTCATTACAATTTTATATTTTGTATCATGTAACCAATTGATAAGTTGTACTCCAGCTACTGAAAATTTGATCTCTGTAAATTGTGTGTTGGAATGAAGTTCAACGTTTTACTATGATTACTACCAACACAGATGAACTTTCATGAAAAAATCACTGAAAATCATCTTATTTGCAATTCATCAGTTCTAAAGGTTTATATTATTTGGCAAAGGTTACACCAGAATGATGTAACTTACTTTGAGAAGGCAAGGAACTGGAAGATGATCTCATTGCTCTGCAGGGGGTCTGCCTCCTCTTGTTTCAGGTTCACAGTCACATGATCACCGGGGTCAACGACCTCAGGAGACTGCCCATGCCTGTCCGTGATTGGTGGGAAGCCGGCCGTGTAGAGTCGGGCATAGGCCGCTCGGGACAGGCCCTGGCCACTGGACCGAGAAAAGTTTAGAGTGTCAGAATTGTCATAAATAATATAATTTCATGTAAATAAGCAAGTGCAAGGCTCCATCATTAGTATGATGTCAAATTTTATGCCCCCCCCCCAAAAAAAATAATAATAACTGCAATATAGTTTGATTCTTGAATACAGTCACTGTGATAGTGAAGGCTAGAAGTAACCGTTGCAATTTTTCTTTGGGATTCCAGCGAAAGATTTGGCAAGATACAACTCGCAAACAAACATTTAGTTTCATAAAACATTGAAGGCAATAAACAAACATACAAACAACCCACCTTTGTGTTCCCCTGGCTGACAACAGTATTGGAGCATGTACAGGTGTGTAGGGTAGTTCTGTCAGCTCTGTCATGTCCTCTGTTCGAGCTGTATCAGGCTGGAGGGGACACATAACAAACATGTTAGGTCAGGACAACAGGAAAAATCTGTATCACATATTACCTGCTCTCAGACTGGTAATATTACATCATAATACAAGACTTAATTGTTTTCACATACAGTATGCTTACATGGAAAGACGAATGACAATGAAAATAGGTAAAATGATAATCATTAATTTTATAATATTTATTTATAATGATTTGAATTCAGGCACCACATACCTGCCCATCTGATGTGTCCATGGTGGTGTCCCCCAGCATGTGAGGGGGGGTCGTGTGGGACTGGGGGTACGGGAGGGAAATGGTGGGGTAAGACAGGGGAGGGGGGAGACTGCCAGGCAGGGGGGTGCTGTAGGCTGGAAGTCTGGGGGGGGGGGTAAAGAGGAAAACAACACAATCAAAACAAAACAATTTTTAAAGCAATGTTTAATTTTATGTCAATTTGTGTGGGTAACTAACACACTGGAAAAAAAAACAGTTCAGTTGCCTTTGGACTGTATTTTTTGTATTCAGAATCTCAGAAATTAGATAGCTACACATGTACACAAATACTGTAAATCACTGTATATTTGCTGGTACTTATATTTGCAATTTTCACAGTCACTTCAGAATTTGCACTATGAATTTATCACCATCACAAACAAATAATACAAATAATTTGCTGGTTTCTTTCTTCTGACCCTTCTGCCCCTGCAAACATAGTTCTTCTAACATGTTCATTTTTGTCAGACTGCAAAATTTTGCTGTACTGCCAAATAAGGATTTACTGTAAGTTGTTGTTGTTGTTGTCCGTCCATCGTACTCAAAGATGAGCAGTGACATCAGTAACTGTTACTGTTAGTATTAGGTAAACTAACTGGTACCTGTGTTCAGTCCTGGGACTGGACTTGGCACTGCTGGGCAGCGGAGGTCGGCTGGACACCGTGGTCGGTCTCTCCTGCATGAAGCTGCCGTCAGACGTTTCCGAGTGAACCGACGCCGCGTACGGCTGGCCTGGGATCTGTAACTGTGCCACAACATGACCATTCAATAAGATCCATGACTAGTTATCAGGTTGGTAAGACACTGAGTAAAGAGACTCTTTTTACACAACCAAGTCTTTTATTCAGCCGACGTTTTGGTGACTGTCTGTCATCTTCCTCAGCGCGATTCTGACTGGTTGCAATGCAATGTGAACCTGGTCCAGTCAAAATTGCCCTGAGGAAGATGACAGACGGTCATCGACCATCACAAAAAATTGAGTTGAACAAAACAAACTTTAGTCTTTGCATTACCATTTGGTTTGGAATCTGGTCCTGTGCATCCATTGATCTTGGTGGCTCCTTGTTTAAAAAGAAAAAAAAAAGAAAATTAAGAATTTGAAAGTCCTTAATTTTCCAGACACATGTCGGTTGCCTTCTGGGATTCAATGGGAAAATGCACTTTAATTACACGCAAACTCTGAATAATGTCATTTTTTAAAAATCTCTTGTTTCAAACATGACATCATGGTATACTCACGTCGTCTCTCCTGAAGGTGAACTTGAGTGACCCGGCGTTCTGTTGTTCTGCCCCAGACTTCTGACAGAACATCATCACGTTGTCTGGGTTGGGCGCAGACCCACATCCCATCGCCACGGTAACCTCGGGCCGTCCTGACGCCGTGAACGGACACCAGGACACCCACAGGACAGGAACTGTGATGGTCTGGGCTCTGGACATGCTGCCTGACAACTGGGGAAAAATAAAGGGAATCTTAGTTTTTCTAAATATTTTGCTTGTTGGTTTGCCATGCTGCTAGTAAGAGCTGTGGCCATTTATAAAGCAGTTATTGCCAATCTGTTGTCTAAAATATTTTAAAAATACAAATTTTAATTTTAAGCACCTAGAGGGGAATAGGGGGAAGGATAACATGTGCATGTAAATGTAGATGGGGTGTTCAGAACTTCTCCCTTTCCACTGTGTGTGACTAAGGTTTAAAACTCTTACACAATCATGTAACGTTACATGTATACCTAAGGCTTCTTGTTATAGCTGTGGGGTGGTTAAAAACAATCATTATGTATTGTTGCATAGCAGATTAGTGACAGTTGAAAGAAAACTGTCACTGTAGTCCAAATGCTGTGACAGCATTTGGACTACCATGGTCAGTTAATACGGTTACAGTATCTACACCAAAGATTAGCATACCAAAAGGCAATCTGTCGACCTGTTAAAAAAAGAAACTTAGTGTCTTAAGCACTTCTGTCCACCTGTTAATGAAACTTAGTGTCTTTCAGCTGCAATAATAGGGAGTACTGACTGAAGAAGCAAAAGCAGAGAGAAAAGAAGCTTTTAATTTGAAACCCTGTCTGGTCCTTGTAGGATGCAGCAGAGAGATATCAGCAGCAGAACAGCTATATGAGAAAAAAGCAGCATTTTTATTTCATTGCCTTAATAAATAATAATGACTGCAACTCTGAAATAAGAATGATCAACAAAACTGATGATGCATAAAAAGCATATCACCAGATGGTTAAATTTGCACACATCAGATTTTCTACAAAGTATGTAGAAAGCCAAAGCTGAGGTCATGAGTGAATGACCACATACTTGCCACTCTCTGTAACTTTGCCTTTGCATGAGCTACATGGAGAGAAGGGATACTAAAAATGTGGATTAGAAATTACCACAATATGATTACATAACAATGTATGTAATGATATCAGTGTTTTTAATAGAATGTATAACGAGGTTGTTAGGCTGTTGTGTGATGTACACAGGGATAGCTAACAAATGTAAATATTACTAGAAAGGCCGACATTTGCTCGGAAGCAAATGCAGCAAATGGCTTCACCACATCCCCCGTACCAAAAATGGATGTATCCCCCTCCCACACAAGTGGATTGTTCCTAATTCACCCCTGTCCAAAATTTGAAGTGTTTCAATAGTCTATACCCCTGTGCAGCAATGGAATCTCCCAATGCCTTCTGTTGGAACATGAAGAGACCTGTATTATTATGTTTACCGAAGGAAAACATATTGTTTTTACTCAATTTCCTCTTCTCCAAGCACTAACCTCTGACATGATTTGTTGACGTCTGTCACCATGGTGACTGGTGTTGGGTTACATAATGTTGCAAACTTCATGGTCTGCTCTGCTCCTGTCACCATATACTAGTAGTATATGTATGTGAATATGTTTGAGTAAAAATTAACAGGGCAGACCATGTCCGAAGGTAAACATTATGCATTTGCTTTGCAAATGTTACTCTTACTAGTTGTGTGGTTAGCCTGACCTTTGCCCCGGACATGGCGAACGGCACAGACAGCGTGTACTCCACTTGGAACACGACGGCGAATGATGCATCCTGGGCCAGGTCTGACAGCTGCACCTGACTACGAGCCACCAGGCAGCTGCTGTTGCCAAGCGACGACCTGTAAACAATGCAGAATTATTTAAATATCCAGGGATCAAGATACGTTGCAGTACTTTCAATTTGTGATATGTAGTAATTCATTGATCACCAATCCTTAGTCTATTCTCTTAGGTTACCAAATTTTACGGTTGCAAAGTTAACAGTTCTTAAAATAGCTTTTAAAAAATTGCATCTAAATCGGACTATAATAAGTCTACGGACTTATCTAAATCTTTAGGGATGAAGATACTTTACAGTATTTTAGAGATGTGGTATGACTGTATAATTTAATTAATATCATTGATTACCACAAATGATTAAAGCATCAGTCTATTCGTTTTTGGTTACCAAATGTAAGGTTGCAAAGTTAACAGCTTTTATATAGCTTCAAAAAATCTGCATCTGAAACTTAAGTTTATGATAATTCAATAAATTTGTGTGCAATTGTTGTAAAAAATAAACTCACAGTAATCAAAAACAAAGAAAATGATAGTTCATTCAAACAAAAGTTCAGAATTTTAACCTTTCTAATGAATATATATCAACTCAACTCTGACATTATTATTCATAAAATTAGATAAAACATCCAAGAACAGGATACTGTCAATGGTAAAAAAAAAAAACAAATATCAGTTATCAAGGCCTAAAATAAATAAAATTCAAGAATGTTTAGAGAACAACATTCATTGTACCAGTCCTGTGGAAATTGTACCTACATTGTACAATTACATGTACTAGGTGCTTTGAACTCACCATTCAATTTCTTGAAAGTGCAGTGTTAGGTATTATAGGGTACCCAGCAGAATTGTGTTGCTGTTAAAAGTTCTTACTTTGACCCAAAAGAGGGAGTTCTCCTGTGCCCCTTGCCGATACTGCCAGACCGTGCCCTGCCCTGGGTCTCCACTTCTGGTGCCAGAATCACCACCTGAGGCTTCTGTACGTAACCCCAGCCATTGTGGAGACCAATCTACATGTATAAACAAAAAACAAGGTAATGCAGGATAAAATTGTCTTAAGTTGAAAATAAACCTCTTTGTTACAGTTGAATGTAAAATGTATTATAGTACACACACTCGGGTACTTCCTTACCTGGAAGTAATACATTCAATCAATAATACAATTATAATTATTATATTTCAAGTGATTTAATGATTTGTTTTGAAAATCTGTGATGTCTTTTTAGTATTTACACCATGTACATGTAGATGCAGAAGGCAGAACCAGTAACAGTCTTGGTCCAGGTGGTAACAAATATTTTATGCAGTGAAAGATTTATCCACAAAACATCTGATTCAATAATTTGGACCAAATCAAATTCAATCTTACCTGTAATCTCCTCTCCACAACATTGACTGTTGAACCGTCACTTGGGCCGATGTTGTCCTGTAAGATATAATATTTGTGTAACTACATGTAAGCATTCAAATGACTCAGTCTGTAATATGCCATGATAGGCTCAAATTAGGTGGACAAACAGGACAAAACACAGGACAACACAGTCACATCAATATAAAAGAGAACAGAGTAGTCATTTTTATTGAAATACATGTCATTTTTATTGAACTACATGTCCATTGCAACAATTATTGTTTTTAAAGCTCAGTGCGATCTGAAAAGCAAGCTGTACCTTTAAGTTAGTAAGAAAACAAAAAATCAAAGCAAGGAATCAGATCTATGAGTTAGTTATATTATATATAAAAGTCAGAGGAAAATTATAAGTTGAACATAGTCTTAGGGCTGGAACGACAGCCAGTCAGAATTGGGCCACTGCTTACAGGTAGTTTACTGCACAGTCTCATTGTGACAGTAGTGAATTTTATCACTGTGACAATGCTTTTCACACACACGTCAGACTTTTGACAGAAGCAACCATTAAAATTAACATTTAGGATCTAAGACTGTATTATCCATAAGGGGACAGCTGAATTTTGCAGAGCACATGCAGGCATGTCTGTCACAAGCTTTAGAAGAAGCCCTCACTTTGCAATCACACAACAAAAACAAATTTAGATGCAGCTAAGCAGTGAGGACTGAGGTAGGATTTTTTGCAGGTGTGTTCTATTTGTCAAATACAGGAGGTGTGAAGAACACATAATATCTAATAATATAGAACTTATTATCACTGACAACAATAGTATGGTGACCGTCATAAACTAGCCTGTTAGTACATGACAACATGATTGTTGTTAGATGTAAAATGAACATCATGAACTTTAGTAAGAAAACACAATTTAAGACGAAATGATTTAGGAGCTCAGGATATTTCAAAATTTAAATGCATGGATTAGAGTATTAAATGTTTAGGATTGTTATCATGCTGTTTGTAATGCAAAAATATGTTATGAGTAAGTTATACAGTCACATCATCTCATTTATAAAAATATATATGGTTGTTTCTATTTATGCGCAAATTAAAAATTGAAGGACTTTGTTTATATCAAAAGAAATTCAGTTTATTCGTACTGAAATGTACATTCATAAATTTTTTTATTGAGATTAATATACACTGCAGACTGAAATGATGATGTCTGTGAATGTTTATTAGTTTGTTTGTCTTAGTTTGTTAGTGGTGAGGATGGCTTTATTCAGGGTTATGGTTCTCAGTCCAGACTGACTTACCAACGACACATTAGACCCATGGATGTCCTAACATTGTGCAAAAACACATGTTATTGAGTGATGGGACAACACTACATGAATATGGAACCAAAACAACAAAAACATAAAATATCATACATGTGCTGGCAGTTATTACAATGTGATATTTGGTAATAATTATTATACATGTAATTATATTATAAGAGCTGCCTAATTAGTGGAACAACTGCATGATACAAACAATAGCCAACCAAATAAAAGAAAACAAACATTAGGCCTAGGAAAAATGTTGTGTTTCCTGATTTAGTTCTGAAAAAGTTAGGATCGTTAGGTAGGAATTCTTCTTTTTTATTAGACTTTAAGCAATCTCTAGTGATCAAACTTAACCAGTTTAACAATTTGAAGGTAAAACTTGCATGAGAACACTTATATTTTCAATGTCAATGTTGGAAAACTTATTGTGCAACGTTTCATCACTCAGGTGTCTGATCATAGAGCTAAGAGAAGATCAATTTATGTCCCTTGCAGGGGTCCACTGACTCCACCCCCCAAAAAATGCTAGAGTGGCAGTTTTTTCTAAGGTTGACTACAAACCAGGAAACACAGCATTTTTTTTCTTATCTTTGACAGAACTGTAACAAAGAAAAGATCATACAGACCCTTTGTAGTCGGTCATCGTTGGTTTTTTTGCATAAATCTTCCTCAAACTTGGCGAGGGAAGGCTCGGGGGTGATGGAGATGTTGTCCAGGTGACTCTGCAATGTCTTGAGAAGTTTGGGCTTGAGAAGATTGTCCGCTGAAACAAGATTGTCTTAACATGTCACAACTTGGAAGTTTCACTGACTGACTGAACTACTGTCAGTGATTTGTTTGTCAGTGACTGAATTACTCAGACTAATGACTGTCTGACTGACTGACTGACTGGCAGACTGACTGAATGGTTAACTGACTGACTAGTACTCACTCACATCCCAAAAAAGGTAAATATAAAATAGTACTGTAACAATGTTTATATGATGTATACCTCTGTGAAAATGGTATCAATTGTTTTAGTCTAACCCTCTTTTTTACTGTCAGCATTTTTGAACTGTATAAATTGAAGAAATGTTTGTGTACTGTGCATTATCTGAGACTCTTCCTGTAACAGGAAGTAAGGCTCAAAGATCACGGAATCTTTCTACAGCCCAGAGGCTTTACCCCTTTAGGATACGGGAGGGGGATAGGTCTTTTTTTGGTACGGAGGATGTGGTGAAGCCATCTGCTGCATTTGCTCCGGAGCAAATGTCGGCCTTTCTAGTTCTTACAATCTTGCTTGCCCATCACCTACCATTTTCCTTGCCCTTGCTTCTCTGCTCCTGTATCCCTGGGATGACATCGTTCCCTCCCACTAGCACGTTCTCTGGCACCAGGTGTAGGATCTTCTCCATGGCCTGGTGTGTAGACAGGCTGAACGCTATCTGACACCCTTTTACTAGCTGGATGTTCTCATTAGCTATATATAAGGGTCAGGAAAAAGACTTAAAACTTCTGAGTAGGAATTATAGCTGAATTGTACATTTAATACATACATGACTGTTTTCTTCAACATTATGTGATAAAATAAGTCTTGGCACCAAACTTAATTTCACTTTATTGGTGTGTTAACAACCAATGAAAGAAATACTGGGTAAACATTCAATGGAATAGGTTTTAGCACCAAGGACAGATAACATGTACAGAAACAAGGACAAATAGCATTGTGCAGAACCAAGGACAGATAGCATGCACAGCACCAAGGATAGATAGCATGCACAGCACAAAGGACAGCATGTACAGTATCAAGGACAGACAGCATGATCAGCACCAAGGACAGACAGCATGATCAGCACCAAGGACAGACAGCATGATCAGCACCAAAGACAGATAGCATGATCAGCACCAAGGACAGATAGCATGATCAGAACCAAGGACAGATAGCATGATCAGCACCAAGGACAGATAGCATGATCAGCACCAAGGACAGATAGCATGATCAGCATCAAGGACAGACAGCATGATCAGCACCAAGGACAGACAGCATGATCAGCACCAAGGAAGAATAGCATGTACAGCACCAAGGACAGATAGCATTATACATGTATACAGCACCAAGAGAGGGATGGAAGTTAGTATATCATTCACTACAAAGTAATAGTCATATACCCCTAAATGCAGCAAAGTGGCATTGCACTATATTAGCTAATGTCTGAAAGCATCATTCTTTACCTTAGATGAGGATAACAGAAGAAGAAAAGATTGAGATTTAAAAACAATGTTCTCTTACTTTCAATGGCATCGTCCATGAGCATGAGAGCCCGTGGTGACCCGTGGTACACGTCTAGTTTTCTAACATCTGCCGTTCCTTCACTAGTGTCCTTCAGTTTCTGAGACTTCTGGAACAGTCGGAGTAAAGACCAGCCACAAGACATCTGCCTCCTGGGCTGGCTACTGCCAGGGCCGGGCTCCAGGATACCAACAACTTCTACCACTGCTGCAATGTTAGGGTCCTTCAGCGACGTGTGGAAATATATGGGCTGGAAAATAATACAATTTTGAAATATTTAAAACTTATAGTCTATATCATTTGAATTAAAGTAGCATTTTACAATTATAATAATAATATCAAATTGATTGTTGAAAACTATTTTAATTGGAATGGAGCTCATATAACATCCCCGGTCCATTCTAATTTTGAAGTCAACTGTTTCACTGTCTTCTACTTTTATTTCTGACCTAAAATCTCAAAATCATTAGCTATTGATCACTGTTATTATACATGTTTAACTCATAGTAATTATGCATAAGGTGCATATTAATATTAGGGTTCAAGAGGTTACAAGTATGTACTCACTTGGCATACTTTAATATTATATACGGTATATAATGTATGTATGGTTCCATTTAAAAGTCAAATCAATTTTCTTGCATGTTACTGTTTGTGGTCAAGAGAAAATTTCTTTAAAGTTGCATAAGAGTAAATGAAACTAAATGAAACTCTTGCCTTTGAGTCTGACTAATGTCATGAAGGATTGTATAGTAATATGCATGTACCTGCTGATATTGCAGTTTGTATTTCTGTTTTGCCTTGTCGACTTTTGCCGCCCTGGCTGATCCGACCCAGGTACGTCCGAAGAACGTGTGGTACATGATGTCATACAGACTGACTCGCAACTGATACTGCAGCTGGGCACTGGACTCACCCACATCCTGAAAAGGGGGAGGGAGGGTTTTAAATATTAATAATAACACCCCTATAACATGTTAAAGTTGGTATGATCCGATGCTGATTCCAATGTTCACATGCTGAACATTGGACTTGTCCATTTCCTGAAAGGAGGGAAAGTTACAATTGGTGTTAACATATTGTAGTCTCAATCCTGTAGTCAATGTGTAAGGCTTTACCCTTGGCCTTAGGCTAATAAGATAGCAATGTACTCAGCCATATTCCACAATTCATTAAGCTATGACATTAAATACAAGACAAACACAAACGCACACACACACACACACAGTCACACACACACACACAGTCACACATACTCACTCATTCACACACACACACACAAACACAAACACACACACACACACACACACTTACACTCTCACCCATGATACATACCAGTAATATGATATTTGGTCTTCTTTTCACTTTTTATTTAGAGTTAACAACAGGCAATTATTGGTGACAAGTATCTTTTCTTTGAGACAAAATTTTTCACAATGGGCCTATTAGCCATTGTGTGAATTCTTAATGGTACAGTAAGTATTAATAATAGTACTTGGTTATTAGAACAATGCTACACAATTAACACATTTGTCTTCTATATATAATATAATTAACTATTTCTTCTCAACTGGTCTAAGAACGCTGTCTAAACCTGACTAACTTTCTTTGGAATATAGAATTGTAACTTACAGTAGTGTATGATTTGTCAATATAATAGAGCACTTAAACAGCAACAATGCTGAACCAACAGATGTTATGTCATTGATTGTTAGCAAACTGAACACCTGTCGTCACAGTCAGCACTTTCAAATGGCATCTAACATATTCATATGCCAAACAATTACAAATCCATAGGCCTCGGGGGATTGTACCTAGGTCTCCTTGCCTGACACCCATTAAAATATACATTGTAACTTCCAACACACCTATGTCCAGACAAATTAAACACGACATGTATAAATATTATAGGCTAAAGGTTAAGGTTGTTGGAACATACTATTATGTCAGATACATGGAGGGGTGTAACAGCAGTGGGAGCTGCACAACATGCGATTGCATTATAAAACTATAATTGTATGGCATTTAGATCAATGTTCGTAAATTACTACAATGATTTCAGAAGCTTCTAAAGCAAGTTTTCAAGCTGTTTTTTCTCATTTTGTTTTTTCTTGAAGGTGTTTGAAAAGAACAAATCAGAGGTTCGATGTGTTTGATCTTGATCGGTCTTACTATTGCATGAAATTCAACTGAACTACATAATATTTTTTTTTTTTTGGTTCAGATTTTATTACATGTAATTTCAGAAGTACCTTTAAGTTAGTACATGTACCTACCTTCCTCTCTGGTAACCTTAGTAGAGGTACCTGTTCTACCGACCACAGAGTTAAACAGAACGGGACTGTCTGTCGGTCTGAGTGTAGCGTACGCCTCAGGTCCGCCGGTATCACACGCAGCGACTTCGTACGGCTAACTCCAGCCCGCGTACTTGTCAGCGATTCCTTCTTACGCAGGCTGATCCGTACACTTTTTTGCAGAGTAGAGGTAGGGGAGGGCGACGAAAGACCATTTCGGAGAATGGATGCTGGGGAACGTGTTCGATTTATGTCGCTTTTCCACGACGAAAACATGTCCATCCGACTTAAGCTGGCAATTCAAACAAAGGACAAAATAATAAGTCACTCTCTCTCTCTGTTATGACTACATCGTAAGTTGCCATTGAAAAGAAAATTGGGTTCCACCCATTTTATTGTACGTCAACAAATAGGGCGTAAATTTCCCACCCACTTATACGGGCAATTTGTAAGTCAAAACACGAGGCCTAGTGACATTACAGGAAGAAGAATTATAATGTGCAGTTGAATGAGTGCAAACAATACTGGGTAAATTTTGGAGGGCAATCTAAAAAAAGCATAATTGCTTCAAAGCGGTAATTATGACATCTGAATCATAATACATCAATCATCATTTACAGTAAACTACAAAATATTTTCATACTCATAGTGGTTTTTATGTTTGTTTTCAAGCAGGGAGCTCTCTATGTAATTTATGTACTAGATGTCTGTCTGAAATATGAGTTCCTTTACTGTATTTTACTTAGGCTCATTTGAGTCTTACAGTTAAATTACATAAAATTACATGCCATTGTACAGTTAAGTCCCTGGGAACTACAGTAAGTTAGAGTACTGTACACTCCTTTTTCGCCATAGTTTTCTTTCAAGAAGGTTTTTCGGAGGGTTCTAAATTTACCGTAAACTGCCAAACCTATTCTGTTACATGTACTTGCAGTTAATGTTTTGGAAAATGCACAGTGTGATATGCAGTTGAGAAGCCACAGTAAACATGTGGAAATAAAACCACTGTGAAGGTTTGAAGACTTACAGTACATTGTTCATGTACATGTCAGTCAAATTCTTTTGTCAGTGGTGAATGTCTCAAGATGTACAGTATTGTACTTACTTGTAAAAAAGTGGGGATGACTACCTAATTTCTACACCTCTCTGCTGTTATTTGTTAATAATACATTTTCCAATGCTGTGACTTATATGTATACATTCAATTTGCATTACTAGTATGCTGTCAACACTTCCACTTCTTGATTCAACCAAGACTAAAGTAATGTATAGCACCAGGCATGCACAAAAGTGAATATAGTCTTGAAAGAAAATGTGGGAAAACAAAACAAGTTCATTCAAAAGTGTACTCATCACTCCGAAAAAATCACTAGAATTTGGCAACACTTAAAATGTAAACTATGAACAGTGTAATTTTGAGTGGATAATTCTACCACACTGCAGGTCTGGAATAATTATTGTTACAGCCAGAGTATAGGTGGCCCCATTTAAAAGAGAATATGTATGACATTGTCTTCAGTAAAGGCATTTTTGCATCAGAACCTGAATATTTTTCTTGCCTTTGTGGCTCTTCTGTAGCCCGGTGTTTTTGAGCACCTGGTTTTGAAAACATATTAGTCTGAGCAGTTGCAGGCCAATTTGAATATTCACTCATTTTGAACAAAGCTGGCTTCTTTGCCAATACATATACTAGTACTAGTACATGGTAGAATAACCACTTCAAATAAGAACAGGACAGTAACATTTGGCCCATAACAGTCTAGTAGTAATTTACAGATACTAACAAAGGAATTTACAAATTGCACTGTAAGTTACAAGTTAAAGATAAATCTACATTGTATGCTAAAAGATGCATGGGCAAATCATTGTTACATTCAAATTTCTATTGATATGATATCTTTGCTTACCTGTTACGATCCATATATCAGTTGGCTGAAAGAAATTTTTGCTTGCAAAACTGCAACATCTGGAGAGTGGAAAATGCTGTCCTTTTCACTGTCACACATCTAACAGTCCTTGACAATAATTACCGATGCAAATTCTAACCCTCAACAATCAGCTGTTGTGTCGGGTCGTCCCTGGTTGCCACGACGATTTCCCGGTTGCCATAGCAACTTGCTGGCATCACAACTGAAGCACTCTCAAGCCGTGACCTCTGTTTTTGTAGTCAGCAGACATCCTCTTTGATCCAGTCAACTCCAGAGGAATTGGAGGAAGGATTTGTTTCCTTTTTTTAGTATCAGACTCAGATACAGAAATTTCTTTCTTGCAGATGGGGTGTATTTCTGAAGGATTCGCAGGTAGATTTCTCCTGATTTAACCAACTGTTTTCTTGCTTTTATCTCTTGTTTGTCTCTTTCAATCTGAGGACAATACAAGGGACTGCATTCCTTTTATCCTGGCTTAATAATATTCTTAATTCAATAATGTCAATGTTTCACTCACTCATTCATTCACTAAACCATTGAATAGAAATTGTCTGTTGTAAATTTTGTTGTTCAAACTTAGGACTCAGTCTTAAAGGACAACACTGTCTTCTCTTAAGTCTTTCCTTAAGTCTTTAACTAGTATGTAAATCACTAGGAATTATAAATTGCCTGACATCAGTTACATGTATATTTAGGCCATTTAAAACAAGGTCATTACTGTTACAGTATACATGCCTGCATTGCCACAAAAAATCCTATTGTCATAGATGTATTTAGTGCAAGTTTTCACAAGGATGGTCATCAGTGTGTTAGTTTTTTTTTTTAGTAGTTTGACTAAAATGTTTTGTTTTCAATCACTTTAGTCAAGGACAGGGTTAATCCCCTTAGTACAGTATTGAGTGCACTCTTTTTACTCTCTCTGAACTCTTAATTCATGGGTAAGCTGTTTGCTTTTAGTCTGTTGTGGCCCTGTAGGACTTGGATTTTAGTTGGATTAACTGTGACAAAAATCTGCAGTGCACACATGCATGTCTGTGTATTATTAATGTGTGACTGTGCATGGCTATTTCTTCATGAGTCAATATATGGGCACTAGCATATTGCTCTCGACTATTGCTGTAACATCTTTGAGTCCTAGCTAAATGAACATTACAAAATGGATTTTCAAGTCAATTCAAAGTATTTTTGCTTTTGGACTTCGAAAAGACTAATGAAAAACCAGTGCACTGTTCACAATCTATACTATTTGAATGTATAATCATAATGAAACAGGTCGTTGCCACTTAAATACAGGGGTAAATACACTAAGGCAGAATTTCTGGTTTGCTGGTAATATAAAGACTGACCCACAAAAAGTACTGACGTACTACTGTAATTCAATCTCTGAATTATATATTATGTAGTACAATAATCTCTTTCTTTTGATCTTTATTTGGTGAAAAGTTTAATACACACACATATATATATATATATATGTATCAGCAGGGCGTAGACAATAGTGTAGCTTAGATCTTGATTTAAATTTTAAGATATGTTTTTTGTTTGTTTTTCAGCCAGTCAGATGCTCATCCATACTCCAAATATCTAGACTTCAACAACATACTAAGGGGATTAGAGTGTTTACAGTGGATCTTAACTGAATTGCTATATCTAAGTGTAGTATGTTGACTTACTTGAATGGTAAGGACTCTTGTGCTAGGAGCACTCCAGTAAGGAGGTGGGTGTTATATTCCAATAGATAATCAATCAACATATCATTTTCTGAAATATTTTAAAATAATTATTAGTCAACTTTTCTTGCACAATTCAAAGTCTTAAATGTGCAACATCACTAACCCTACCTTTTTTTACACTTTCATTTGGCATGAATATTTCTGGGTCATGTAGAAATTAATGTTGTGTTTTTACAGGTTTCAGTCCTGAAAAAAACCAACTAGATATTATTTTTATTTTCTTGTAGATTTCAGCTTCAATACCATGATTGCAAACCTGGGATCAGATCCAACAAAAACAAGAAGCCATAGGCGACAATTCTCCGTGAAGTTTTATATATTTCAACAAAATCCCAAGCGTCAACGCCAGACCTACTGTGCAGACATTATAATTAGGCAACGGTTAATACAATGAGGGCGCGTCACAAGCATAAAACATACAAAGAGCTAAATCCATTACTGCTCCCAGGGCGTGTAAAGATACTGTGCTTCAAGTTCTAACTTCATTTTAATTACACACACACAATCATTGCATTCACATAAAGATCGGACTATCATGGTCGTGTCTAGTAACAAAGACAGCCCCACCGTCTTACGGTGCCTGTACCTAATTAAGCGCGCCTGGAACAAGCCAAATTCCAGCAACAGTGGCGGTAAGCACCGCGAGTGTTACTACCGACGGCCAGATAACCAGGATATCTGCTTACAGTACCTCTGCTACCAGACAACTGCCTAAACCTACGGTCTATTCCACAGGATTGTAAAAGTAGGGATGTTTCGAAAATAACCATTTACTCCAATATCAAAACAGCTACGGTAAAAATAAAAAGACGTGCATCATCCCGGACATAATGCAACACCACATGCGAAATTACACAGATATGCGACGTACGGCAGAATGCGTTTTGGCTGCGAACATCTTCCAAAAAACTTGGCATCTCTTAACCATGGGCAAAAACATCTGGAACCACTTATAAAAACCACCCCGTATCTGCTTGAACTTTTACCTCCCCCCCCGCTATTCCAAACAACGCGTTTTTTTGGACCGTTCCAATTCGCCTCGTAATTGTAGGGGTGCGTCTGCGATATTACATTGACCGCGAAAGCAGCAACGGCAAAAATACACATTCGTGCATCAACACGGGCATGCCCGCAGACGGCGTATAAAATTGCGTGCCGATTACACGAAGAGAACCCAGTGTTTTGACTGCGAACATGAAAAATCAGCCGATTACAACACTCCGTCCGGAGGTCCTGACCTCCTTCACGGAGTAACAATGCATCCCTTACTCGATCAATCCACCTGCAGCTGTTTGCTTGTGGACAAATATTTTAACTGATTTAAGCGAGGATCACAACCCGATGCATGATTTTTGTCCGTACGTTTCTCTGAAAATGTGGGGAAACACTAACTATTGTACTAGCAAGAGCAGGGAGGGAGTATGTTTGCACATGTCACTCACCTAGCTAGTTGCACATTTAAGTGGTCAGTGGCCACTGGACCACCTTGGAGCCATGGTTTGCACTACTAGTGTTTTGAGTTTTCATGTAGACATGTGTAGACAATAGGGGCTATATGGGGGTGTAGCTGGGGCTCATATAACGTCTCAGAGCCCCGGCAAAGATGAAGATGAAGAAGACATGATTGTGTTTCTTTCTTATAATAAATTCTATAATGTAATTTATAAAATTGTATAATTGACAATGTCTGTTTTTTTGCAGTAAACACACACACACACACACACACACACACACACACACAGTTGTGATGCATGTACATGTGTTGTCACACACACACACACACAAACATAGTCACGCACACAGATGCATGCCATGCAAGCACTAGCAGTGACTGTAACATCAAAATTATTGTTGTAAGACTTCTTGGTACCCTAAGACACACTAATCACACACACACACAGAAACAGAAACACGTCTCATTCATTTATACACAAATACAATGCAAGAACAACAGAATGATGATAATCTAAAATCTGAAACATACGGTAGTACGTAGATAGACTTATCCTTCCTTAGACATTCCTTATACATATAAATTGTAAAGCCAAGATGTATCAAATGTCATCTTATAATTAATTCTAGCACAGAAACCTAATGTAGCAACATGCAACAATTCCTTATCTCCTTATTATTTTAGCGCATACACTGCGATATCATATCAAATTTAACTATGAATGCAACCACAGAGATTTATCTTATTTGGTTTGTCAATGACCCTGGACGTGATGCCCCAGTTTGGGGCCTTGTCCAGTACAATATATAGATAGATATAGATATAGATATCTTAGAAATAATTTGCATTAATATGCATTACACATTGTTATACACAGATATTCCAACCAAAAACAACAACAGCAAAATTTGTTATAATTTGTAAGCGACGAAAAAATATATATGCCCCCCTCCCCTTTTAAGAATAACAAACGGTACATACCGGCCGATAAACGCCGTCCACTGACTGCAGGTGTATCTGAAACGCGGAAGAATCTTTATCTTCTGTCTCGTCCACCCTTGTTTGTGGCGGAGGCACGACAGACCGGATGGTGTCAGCGGAAATATCTTCCCAACTGCGAGATTTGGACCCGTGCGCCGCCATTTTGGAATTCGGTTACCCCTCCCAACAACAGACGCTCATGACTCTCGTACCCAGGGCTCTCGTACCCAGGGGAGGGTGATGTCATCAGGGCTTGAACAATACACACATCGTAACGTGTTGCTGTAGGTATTAAAACAAGAGCTATCTATTCATAACTCCAGTATGTCCAGATCACGAGTTATCAAAAGCAAACGTTCCATACACACTAACACTACCAAATGGGTGATCTGGGGCTCCCTGGGGGCTGTCCTTGGTACTGCAGCAGAATTTCCGGGTTTAGTTCTGGGCTCGACCGTGAACTTTAAGCTTCTTTATTGGTGGCAGGAAGCTTTTGGGTCTTAAAAATGAGGCTGCGCCTAGCAACTTACTCGGGAAATACAGGGAGGATGGTGTGTTTTTTTTTCAAGGATATTTCAAAAAGGATTAATCAAGAAAGAAAATTGAGTTCCATAACTAAGTTTACTTAGTGCTTGTAGGTAGTTTAGACAGAAATACAAATCATATGAAATAGGACTTACGGACTTAAATGCTTCACTGTACCTTCTGACACTATGTGTGATATAATTGATCCAATAAAACATGGCTACGATTTCCTCATAGATATTATTTTTTATTACGAGTAATTATTTCACCTTTATACATACACTATATCCTGAGCACCTGATCATTAACTTCGTAATGTTGAAAAATTAAAAAATAATATGCTCGATAGCAACATAGGTGAATCATACAAGGTTCTAGATGGCTACAAATAACCATGAAAACTAAATCTTAATTTGATACTATCTTTCGGATCTCATATCAACAAGTTTTACATATCCAACATCCTTATATTGCCATTTTAAGTTCTCCATTGTCGTCGTCGCTGGCATCTTTAAGTGTCTCTGAGTGTTCAGTCTGCTCCTCCTCGATAGTGGCATTTGGTGCAACTTTACAACCTGCCATTTGATTAGCTGTCTGTTCTTTATTAGTGGACATTACGGCAGATAAAAAGTACTCCACTCTACAGTTTACAGCTGCTGTCGTTTTGTTGCCTGTCTCATAAAGCAGCGCGTTGCCGCCCACATTTCTAGTCGAAGGCAACTCAACTTCAGCTGCAGCTGCATAGAACGTCACAGAATCGTCGTCTTCCTCGTAGCTAATGTTTGGTGTTGGTCGTTCAGATGTATTATAAACGTCTTTCCTTTCGTCGTACATTTTCAGGCAAGGAGAGTCGTCTGCTCCTAGGTTACTACAATTATTAGAATCCTCATCTTTTATTTTGCAGTACTCGTGGGCAGATGCCTCGTAAACGTCGTCCTCGTTGACTTCATTAATGTACATGTTGTCGTTTGTTAGACCGTTGTCTGTGACTCTCTTTGCGGTATCATCTTTCATAACTTTACATTGTAATTCTGAGTACTTGTGACCAGATGGATCGTACACTTCATACTCGTTTATCTCATTGTAGATATTGTCATATGTTTGATCGTTGTCTGTGACCCTGCTGGTATCAGCTTTCACAACGTTATCTTTTATTTCAGAGTAGTCATGAGAAGAAGAATCGTGCACTCCATACTCGTTTATCTCATTGTAGATGTTGTCGTCATCTCTTTGACTGGAGTCCTGTATGCCTTTTTGGGATTCCTTTACAGTATTACCTTGGTACATTGGGTTTTTCTGTAAGGCATTAGTAATGTCCCTAAGAGGCATGCTTTGTATGTTGTTGCCAGGGTTTTGGTAATGTTGTCTTCTCTTTTGGTAGCGGAACAGAACGCTTAAACATGTCAAGATGATTGTAACAGCAATGGCCACTATCATAGGAATCTCTACGGACGTTCTAACACTATTCTTATCAGTTTTTACTGTAGCAGAACTTATCGTTGTTGACACATCATGGGTTTGTTGTATGACCGTCACATTCGATAGAGGGGGTGAAGTGGTGATAGCGGATAGGCCCATTCTATCGGTAGTCGAATTCATCAACATTACGTGCGTTGTTGTAGTCAAAACACCAGTACTTCCGTTTAAAACATCAACTTTCTGTGCAACACATGTCGTATCATCTGCCTGCGTTCTAGTGGACACATTAAAGAAGTCGACGCGTTGCTTGTTATCAACGATACCGAAACAGGCCACTCTTGACAAAGAGTAGAGTTGTCTGACGTCATCCAACTCTGAAGCAACGTTTTGAGGATCGATCTTTTTGTTTGTAAAAGTTGCCACAATGCCAAAACTTTTACTACTCCCTCCAAAAAGATGAAATCTTAAACTAGCTGCACCCTTTAAAGGCAAACTTATACCGCCACGAATTTCCCATTTCTCTGAACATAGCTCTGATAAAGACTTATTTTCAGAATTTTCGCTATGATCTACTATGACGACGAAGGGAGGTAACGACGTAAAATGACGCGGTCGGAAAGCGTTATTAGGAGATCCACAAGTTGGCTCACTGTACATGTTTGATGCTTTATGCTGACCTGAAAAACTATTGTACCAGTCGAAAGAAAACTTTCCATCAGTGCCTTCATAATTGATTAGTAAAACTATGTCAAATATCTTAAATCGTATCCATTGTCTTGTGTGCATGTTACAGTTGATTAATGCAACTCTCCATGCCATGAGATTGTTTCCGCTTAGGTCGACACTGAAAAGTCTGTCTTGAGTTAACAATGCTTCTCTATGAAAACAGACCAAGTCATTGTTTCTTAGATCTAGGAATTGCAACCGCTTCAAAAACTGAAACGAGTTAACTGGAACAGCTTCGATTTTGTTTTCTCTTAAAATCAACGTTCCTAGCTCCTCTAGTCCAAGAAACATGTGGCTGTGCAGTCCTCGCAGTAAGTTACCCCGTAGATTTAACAAAGCAAGGTTGTTGAGGTATTGAAAACAGCCGGTTTCCAAAGTAGAAATAGAATTGTGCGAAATCGACAGATCAAGAAGATTGTATTTTCCAGGTGAATACGAAGCAACATACCAATCCCTTGACATTGTCGTCAACATGTTGTCATCTAAATTTAAAGATTTTAAGCCGAAAAAGTCTTTGAATGTGTCGTTTTGTATTTCAGTTATTCCGACATTTATGAGGTAAAGGCCCATGAGCGAGGAATAATCAACGATAGCTAATTTTTGATACGACAATGTTTTGTATCGCAAACCTTTCAATACAAGCCAATCCACACTAAAACACTTCCCCGGTGCTGTATTCGCACTCTCAGTCGAATGTTCGTAAATATCGTTACAGGATATGCACTCTGTTCTGTACCTCGAAGTTATGGTATCTCGAGGTCCGTCGTAGCTATAGATTTTTCCCCTTGGCACGCAAGAAGTAAACAATATTCTTTCGCATCCTGGAAAGCACGTTTGATTTACTGAATGATTTGGTACAGCCAGAAGAACAACAGTTAACAAAAATGCAGCTGCTCGCTTGTCAAAAACTGAATTAATTGTAAATGCAGACATACTTTTTTGGGGAATGTTTTTATCCGAACGCAAACGAAAGTTTTCTTCAATGTTCTCTGCAAGACAACGTGTTTTCCTTTTCTTTTACAATCCCTAGTGTCTCAAAACCATGAAAGCTCTATGTTGATGGCAGGAATCATGTTGCGAAAAACTCGCCTATCTACATCCCAACACAGTTCGGCCTTTGAACCTGTCAAGTCGTCATCCTCCTGCCACAGAAGAACATTCATCCCTGCTACAGTCAAGCTGTGGAACTGTCTCCCACAGGACAATGTCAACACCAGGGACCTTCCGAACTTCAAACGTAAAGTCAATGCCTACCTCAGCGACACTCGTCAGCGACCTGTATAGAAAACGTTATTCGGTACAGCTGCTAAGCTGAGGACTTGGTGACAGCATAGAAAAAAAGTTATGTGGAATTCAATTGTTTCGGTCAATATGACTCAATCATTTTTTCGGTTGCACAAAAGATGCAGAAGGAGAAGACGAGCAAGCAAGCTTTTTACCTCACTTCTGCCAGTGTTCCAACATTTGAAGGGATGAATACCGCACTCCTTAGGTATGTGCCCCCAGCGTCTGTTGCAGTCCACAGGTATTGGGAAAAAATACACGTTGTCCACTGTTCTTGCTGTAGTCTGGCTGTGCTTAGTCAATCCTTTGGAACTATTATATGGCGCTTTTGAAAGATGTCCATGTATCGGGAGGTCTTGCTTTTAGATAGTAAGAGGATTTGTGAAGTTGACAATAAAGAGACCGAGAAAACAATGGTCACTCGTCTTCGACATTCATCAATTTATGCCGAAGCCCAGACTTATATCAGGATTCGTAATCTCGAGGGAAATTCCTAAAGGCACAGATATGAAATTCCAGGGCATGTTATCTGTCAACTATTCAAATTTCATACCAAAAATCCAGACTAATTTCAGGAGTAGCCGACCTATAGAACGCATTTTTTTTGTTCAGGATTTATGTACGAGTTATGACCTATATACGTACAGGTGTAAACATATCAATATGCTCAGGAACAGCTGCAGTTTTATATTTTACATATAATATTTGTTTGTCATTGCCCTCATTATAGCACCGAAAGAGATAAGTTATTTGAAATGGTCACCAAAATGTTCCCTAGCTTTATTCACCTTCCCAGCCTAAAGAAAAACTACATTTCTATTAACACCTCCCAACTCATATATCTCGCAAAATGTCGACCATTTCATACTTCACTGCACAAAAAATCAAACCCAACAATAACTACACATGTATGTCTAAAGTAGCATTAGCATTAACATTAGGACAAGACAATATCCATTTTAATAGGCAATCATTTTGAACAGGCAAAGCCGTTTGTCCTTTTCACCACATCTTAGTCTGTGAGGAAAGTAGCTTTCCTAAGGGCACAAGATCGGTGGCATGCCAGAACTCGAAACCGGGACCGCTCGAGCACGCTGGCGCTACGCCACACGACCCCACGAGCAAATCTTTGTCTCAAGGCTCAGTGGCTTGATGTCAAGTCAACAGTATACTTTTGCGATTTGTTGTAATACATGTTCATTGATGAATTTTGATTTAGATTGTTCTAAAGGTTATCATTTCTGAAGATAATCAACAAAGGAATTATGAACGTGGCTAGTCAACATACTAGGAGGTAAATTTTCTAAAGCTCTGTGAGGTTTGAATTTTTATGTGTAAGCCGTGGAAGACATAATGCACACCTTTTCCATGATTTATGGGTTTCGGGTAGTTGTTCTTAGTTTATAAGCTTAGGAAATTTGGGATATATTTTAGAGGTTTCAATTTCGTGAAACAGACAAGTAGGCGTCAACTCTCCAATTTTGAGAAAGCCGCCTTTTAGTTTAAACTATTAGTTATTATAATGAGGTAGCCTAGCTTCCTGCAAAATTCACCACCCCATGAACTCCAGGGAAGAAAGCCCCGTCTGGACAAGAGGCACTAGATGGAGAAGGGCTGTGTGTATAAGACAAAGGAAGGACCCACGGTGCATAAGGAAAACAGGCTTCTCTAGAAGAGAAGAACAGGCTTCCCAACACGGGAAGAAAACAGGGAAGAAAGGGAGAAGAGATCAGTAGCCTTACCGCGAGGAAGTTATTAAGGCCAGAAGGAGGTAGGAAGCAATACCAGTTTTTGCGGCATCTACATGTACCTGGGGCCAAAAAGCAGTTACTTAAGCAACTGGATATGATTTTGAAAACTGGATATGATTTTGACGTTTTCAAAATCATATCCAGTTGCTTGAGTAACTGCTTTTTGGCCTATCGTATTACCTGGGTGTCTAACCTTCATCGACGTACATGTACATGTACCTTGCCTTGGGCACTACCGGCATCTACCTTGGGCACTACCGGCATCTACCTTGGGCACTACCGGCACTGCCAGAAGGGATATGTGAAGAGCCAATCTGGAGGGAAAACTGTAAGGACTGTCATAAGGGACATTCAAGATCACTTGGGCAAAATTCGGGTCTTTCGTGACTTTCACATCGAACATTCAGTAGGACATTCAGCAGGATATTCCGTAAGACACTCGTATGCAGCGGTTTGTGGTGGCTTTGTACTCCAACTAACCCTCTTGCGATTAAATTATCATATCCAAGAACCAAGGCAATGTAGGCCTGTAAATACTTTTTTTCCTATCTCTGACTGGTCCCGACCACAGAATCAGTAAGATAGGGAAGGCCGTGGTGCTGCACCTACAGACATTGTGAGAAAAAAGTTTTGTCTTCCACAGTTTGTGTATTACAATACCATATTCTTTCGCAAACTGGTAGTGTTTTGGGGGGGGCTGCCATTTTTAAAATAATATTCAGTCTCATCATCCAACGCGTTACGTAAAAGGGAAGTCTGGCATTTGGCAATCACTTTATCGCTTAAGGCTATGTAAAGCAATCTGAACTACAGACAAATCTAGCCTGAAGAACCCCACCGCACTGTTATTACTGTTAGTAAGTGTTTCCCGTTGTCCAAGGTTGGGTGTGCCTGTCTTTTCTCGCACGGAGGCTGACCATAAGCATCATGCGGGGACGGCAGAAGGACCATCGGCCTGTATCTTATAACACAGGTGGGTTTTCGTTATTTGATAACGTCGCTTTTCATATTTGCATAATCACACATTTATTTTTGTCATTATTTTGCAAATGACACGTTACTGCTTTTATTTCCATCTTCGCAGAAACGTCCATGTTTGGTTGTCACGAATTTAATTCTATTCAAGATGGTTTTACTGGTTCTTTGCAGTTAAAAACTGAATTGTAAACCAATTTACGAGGCATCAATATACTAAAAAGTGATCAGAACCTTTGATAAAAGTTCGTTACTTTTGATGAAAAAACTATTCGTTACATATCAGGTTTACATTAAAAATTACAACATGTTCAAAAGTACACATATGCAATTTTATAAAACAGTTAATTAGAGGTTCCTTTAGGTAAAATACAATTACAGCTCAGCATCCAATCAGCAAGATTATTACAACTGCCCAACGATTTTGAAAGCTATATACCTATTAGCTGTTGCTAGGCATTCCTTTCTGATGACTCATCCTCCACTCTACTGTAACTATACTTCACTATTTGGCATTGAAAACCGTAAAAAGTCCCAAATTATACAATTTTAAAGGGGTTGATGCCAAAAGTTGTTATAAGCTGTTTTTGGTAGATAATGCATACCCATACCAAAATCTAGATGATTTGGGTGTTGAAATAGGTCTCCAAGACCTCAAAATGTACGGATTTTGTCAGCAAATGGCCCAAAACCCAAATAAAACAATTTTAAAAGCCTGTATCCAAAGAATGAAGAAAAAAAACGTCTGGAAGTATTCGGTCGCTGTACCTTCATGCCAAATTTCATGATATTTGGCCCAACAATGAATGAATTGAATCCATTTAACGAAATGGTAGGATAAGATGGAGGAAAAACAATAGGGAAAACCACATCGCCTCACATTTTAATTTCCACTGTGCCCTTTAAAATGGCACTTCACATGGCTTTTCTCACTGTATTGTATAGTGATGACCCCCCCCCCCGCCTTTCAGCTTATCATTAATACCCTCAGGATACAGACAGATTAATCTTCAACAGTATCTTTTGGTGGCTTAGTTTCAAAGACAAAATCGGCTATATTCTGTATCCATATGTCAGGCAGATGCCGTTTTGGGCAGCAAAATGGTAACTGTCCCGCCAATGGCTACAGCCTGGCCAATGGACCTATAACAAACATTATTACGTCACAGTTTGTTTACCTGTTCTAAAGAACATTATAGAGCGGTCAGTTCAAGAGTAAAGATCATTTCAAAGTTTTCAAAGTCAGGTATGTTTGATTTTTGCTGCGTCTAGTTTTGTTGACACAGCATTGCATGCCGCATGGGTGATTTAGTTGTGACATTAGACGAAAGTAGTACTGTATTAAGCCTTATATTAAGACTACACAAACACACATCGCGCTACGCACCCCTGAACAATATAAACGTCGATTGACCGGCATTCATTGTGGTAAACAAACTGTGACGTAATAATGTTATAGGTCCATTTGATTCTGTTTTTGCAACAACTAAAAGATATACTCCAAATTACAGACAGATGTGGTGTCGACAATGTGCCAAGCTCTGCACATTTGTCCAGAAGAATTTTTTTCTAGTTAGGCCATGTTGATTAAAGTTTTCAACCATACTGTAAATCGTACAAAACAGTTGCAAAATGAGCAAAAATAAACCATAAGTTACAAAAAAATTAATAAAAACTATACCAATGTCGTAGAATGCCAAAATCAAACGAAACAAGACGAAATTGTAAAGAAATGAACTTGAAGACTAGATTATTCGCCAAACCATATTCTGTGCCATTTGCTCAACCCTCGTGACCACGTAGATTTCAGAATGAAAAGAACTTTTTTTTTTGCAAAACTTTTTTTTATTCGCACGCGCGCATCAGTTTTGGGGATCCCGGAGGATGTCATCCATATAATCAAATCAACATGGCCTTACTAGATAAAAAATATTTTGACAGTTTCAGCTTAAGAAAGTACTTGCGTTACATTACATCATTACGATACCAAAGTTAAAGTTTTGTTACTACAAACTACATTGTTAGTTCAATTTGTTACTCATTCTGCCTTTGATTCACGATAATGATTGTAATTTTTTGTCAGGTAACACACACACCCAGCAGTCCGAGATCTACATTGAGGAACTTGCGGATTCCGTTGCAAATACACCCAACCTGTTGTATGGTAAATGTTTAAGTCATTTCTTAAGATATTCCTAACAATGTTATTATTCATTCCTTCACTGGTATGCGTAGAGGATTGTATTTCCCAAGTTGTCTGTGTTTCATACTTCTAAGGCCGTTATATATTTCTTTATCAAGCACACTACATATTTGCCAACGTCCAAATAAAATGTAATGTTTTCTGTGCACATTGTAAGTCTTGTCTGTGTGTATGTATCAGTGTAGCTTGTAAAATCGCCCGTCGGCGTAACTGAGACCAGCTTAACCTTTTCTTACACCTTTACCCCCTCCGCCACATACTTGAACAATGTTAAAACTTTGACAATGGATCCCCTACATAATTTTACAGTGTGCACGTTCATTTTTATCATCTGACTTCTAGATATTAATATTCAATATATAATTACAACTTGTGCTACTTAATTACAGCGTCACAGCTAACATAAAATTGGAACTTACAATCGGTCAACGACATTTGTCTAGATTGAATACGTTGTGTTCATTCTTTCATTCTCCTTCCGAAGTATTTTTTTATTCTATTTAAGCACATAAAAGAAAATACAAGACTGCAATGGCTAGGTATTCGAGTTGATAACACTTATATCAGCACATAAAATAATATATATTTACACACACACACACACACACACACACACACACACACACACACACACACACATATATTTACACACACACACACACACACACACACATATATATATATATATAACAAAGATATGATACTCCATGGAATAATACAGAAATTTACACACAAAAAATACAAGCAATCAAACTGTGGACAAATTAGATATAACTAAGCTGTCCCACCCCCGTTCCCGTGATATTTCAAAAAGGACTCAAGTGCAATATGCTAAATGTTGTCAATCAGCATTGTACGAAACTGATACATTTAGTAATAAAATATTGGGTAAGACATGGAATTTCAAAATTTTTAACGAAAAGCAGGACCCTAAATATTGTCTTATCACCCTAGTAAGGTTGCCGAAAAGAAGGAGACGTTTATTTTTTTTAATAGTGGGAAGTGAAGGTGGGAGATATTTTCGCTTCGAGCCCGCAGCTGCAAGCTGGGCTGTCGATCAGTCTACGAGTGAAAAGACATGCATTCAGGCCGCAGGTACCGATGCGAAAACGTGCCAAAAGGGCGGAGCCATAACAGGGGACATAATTAACTAAAATGTTTCATTTTAAATTCGATGAATTCTATAATAAACCTGCAACTCTTCAATGTTGTTGAAACATTAAATTAGACGCCTGTGAGAAGGCTGCTGACAACAAGGCTTATGGTGGTCAACTCAATGCATCAAGCCAAGTGAAGAAGCTGTGGATTGCATTATCAGTGGTCTTTGTGATGGTCATGGCGAACGCAATACTACTGACATACTTTGCAGGTTAGATTTACAACTTACTAAATATGATGATCACTGTGATTTTAAAGCACTATTATTAACAGAAGATCGCAGTTGTATGATTTCCTTCTTTCAATGAATGCAGTTAAAGAAAAAGTGGGAGAGATGGGCCCACCTGGACGTCCAGGAGAAATGGGACCTATAGGGCCTCCTGGGCCTGTAGGATCTCAGGGAGAACTGGGACCCATTGGGCCTCCTGGGCCTGCCGGACCTCCGGGAGAACTGGGACCCATCGGGCCTCCTGGGGCTGCCGGACCTTCGGGACCGAAGGGACCCAGGGAGATGACTGCAGCAACAGGACAATGTGAGCCTCGAGGGCGATGGCCACGAAGTAAATATATTCCAGGGATGAAAAAAGGTAAGGTGTTTACGTTATGAATGAACAATAGTGTGCAGTCTAACTGATACCACTTACAATCGAGTCAGTACCGTTTAGCATAACGACCTCCATAAAAATGGAGGTATTGTTTTTGGCCCGTCTGTGTGTGTATGTGTACGTGTGTGTGTGTGTGTGTGTGTGTGTGTGTGTGTGTGTGTGTGTTTTGTGTGTGTTTCCGCACATCTGTCAAACTGTAATGGAG